TCCTCCATGATTTAATCTAACCTTTTAGAAAGTACATTTGTACCAGCAACTTATGCCCTCTTGTTCTCTACTTTTTCAAGTGAAACTTTATCTTTTCATGTCTAAGCTTGGTATGTTAGCCCTGTTCAGCTTTCAAGGGAAAGGGACCTAGGGATTTATCACAAGGCTTTAAATTTAAGAAGAAGAAAGGAAACCTGGGAATCTGCCAGCAGTTGCACCTGCAGACATGATAGAGAAGTCGAACATAATTTTTTTCTTTCAGAATTTAGCCAAATAATTACTTACCACATAGACTAAGCATTTTATATAAATGGTCTCATATAACTGCACAACTCTGCTACAAGGCAGGTTCTATCATTATTTCCATTTGTGCAAAATGAGACACAGAGAGGTTAAGGTCACAGAGCTGATCATCAACTTGAAACCAAAGAGTCTAACCCTGGAATGTGTTAACTACGCTCTATATCTATATGCCTTAGATCATCCAATCAAAGGTATGTTTCACTGTTGTAATGCTACCAAATGCTGTTTACTTCTCTGCCTCTGTTTCCTGTTGCCCTTCCCTTTCGTCTTCATTGAAAACTTACCAGGAGAGAGAAAATGATTGGGTCTATTTGCCACTAGTCACTATGGATACCCCTCCCCAACTCTCTTCCCTTTGGTAGGGGGAGGGTGGCTCATAAGGAGCTCTGTGCCCCCTCCCCGCCCCCTGCCTTAGGTGGCTGTCTTTAGCTGGTTGCTGGCCCTGTCGGTTTTGACAGGATGACGAGGTAACATGACACAAAGCAAGGCTTTTCAGAGAAAGACCTGTGGGCCTGGCAGGCAACTAGAGGTTTTGGGCCATCCAGTCTTGCTCAAAATGCAAAATGTTCTCTGATTACAGTAGAGACTTTTTTCCCGGCTTCTCCTTGCCTTGCTGATTGTGAAACAATAGATTTCCAGGATCCCCTTTGCCCGTGCCTTTTCAGACTGAAGAACCCTTATTCCTGCTCCAATATTGTTCTGGGCTTTCTCTAGTTCTGCTATAAATTTATTCAAATATAGAAATCAGGATCATTTATTTTTTTCCCCCAGTCTGAATGTACCAAGGTTTTTAAGGAGAGAGGGTCATCTTTTTCTTTTGTTTTCTAGTGTCTTCAAGTTGAAGCCTCTCAAGTTCTAATTTCTTTAACATGGCATAAATGAAAATTTCTGGTGTGATCTATAGACATGTCCCTAGACAGGCCCTGTGGGATAACTACACTCAGCCGGCACACGTGTTGATAGTATTATGCACTCCACACCCCCATGTCGTTTTGCTCAGGCTGTCTTTCTCTGCTCGATGTCTTCTACCTGATCCATTCAGTGTCACAATAGAGTGGTTTAAAACATGGGCTCAGGTAAGTGAGGATTTAGATTCCAACCATGCTTGGCAAATTTCTCAAACCTTATGAGCCTTAGTCTCCTCACCTGGCAAAATGGGGATTATCATACTTCTCTCCCTTGGTATTAAATCAGAGAATGTAAAAAAGTGGTTATTCCAAAGCCTGGCAAAGAGCAGTCAACAGAAACACTCCCTAACGTTCCAGGGCTCAGCTCTGACACCTCTGCTTTCCCTTTTTCCTTGCTCTTCTTTAACTGATGTTCATGGTTCTCCTCCTTTTGGTCACTTTCCCATCTGAGAACCACAACACTTCATTCCTAGGTGATGGAATAGTGTTCCAAGATGTCGACCATTTTTCTGTGATTTCCTTTCCCTAATTGCCCAGTCCTCTATATTCAAACCACCATATCTTTTCTGTACCAATATTTCAGGAAAAGGACAGCAGAAAACAGAAATCAGGAGACTGTTTCTGGCCTTTTGAATGAAAAAATCCAGCCCCTTAGGGCAGCAGTCCCCAAACTTTTTGGCACCAGGGACCAGTTTTGTGGAAGACAATTTTTCCATCGACTGGGGCGGGGTGGTGGGGGGGTGGTGGTGGTTTCAGGATGTTTCAAGTGCATTACATTTATTGTGCATTTTATCTATTGTTATTACATAAGCTATACCTCAGATCATCAGGCATTAGATCCTGGAGGTTGGGAACCCTTGCCTTAGGGGATCAGAAAGACAATGGATTTGACCCCAGGATGCAAATGCCCCTACCTCAGGGACCAGGCAGGTGTAAACAGGGTAGACACCACTTAGTGTCAGCCAACTGCTCCCATGTAGGACTCTGGGACCACTGCTATCAGATGCTCCTCAAGAGAGACTTTTAAAAAATCAGAATTTTAAAAAGCATGACATGAAAAATTGAACTTTTCACTCAATGCATGTTTTTTTCCCCCAAATCATTTATTCAACTCAACTTTACTTAACAAACAATGAGTTAGAACCTGAAAAGATGAAGACAAACAAGACAGTCCCTGTTCCAGGTGCTCTCTGTCAGGAGGAGAGGTAAACACATAAACAGGCTATGGGATCGAGTGATAACCTTATGCTACATGACGTTACAGAGTGACTCTCAACTGTGATCACTGGGCCAGCAGCATCAGCATCATCATCTGGGAGCCTATTAGAAATGCAAATTTGCAGACCCAAACCTACCAAATCAGAAAACCATGCTCATTTTAACAAAAAACAAAACAACAACAAAAAATTAGACTAACCTGGTGCTAGGGATGCGTGTGTGCATGCCAAGTCACTTTAGTTGTCTCCAACTCTTTACAACCCTATGGACCATAGCCCTCCAGGCTCCTCTGTCCATGGGATTCTCCAGGCAAGAATACTAGAGTGGGTTGCTGGCCCTTCTTCAGGGGATCTCCCTGACCCAGGGATTGAACCGGTATCTCCTGCATTGGCAAGCTAGTTGTTTACTACTATTGCCACAAGGGTTAGACATTCAGAATGGCAAATGAATATTTATAAATTTTTGTAATTTACTATGGCAAAATATACTAAAATTTACCATTTCAAGTGCACAGTTCAGTGGTCTTATGTACACTCACATTGTTGTGAAACTATGACCATTATCCATTTCCAGAATTTTGTATCTTCCTGAACTGAAACTTTGCACATACTAAACAACTGTTGATTCTCTTTTGCCTTCCCCACCTCCCCCAATGGGATTTTTTCCCCTATTGATTCATGTAAGTTCATTTTAAATGAGGGATACCAATCCTTTCTCACCTGCCAACTTGTGTGTCTTGAAACCTATTCATGGAGATTTTTAACCATCTGTTCAGAAAATTTTAAATTTTTCATGGAATCCTAAAACTATGGCTAGAATTTTATGATTAAACCTATGAATATTTTCCTTTATGATTTCTGTGTTGCCATGCTTGAAGGCAGTCACCACTCAATGTCATGAATTTGCTCACTTTATATTTCCTTCTAAGGTTGTTAACATTTAAATATTTAATCCATATAGGATTTACTTATATATATATATATATATATATATATATATATATGTTTTCCCTCTCAAAACAGCTAATCAATGGCTCCAACATCATTTTTTGGAAAAGCATCTTTCCAACTGATTTAAAATGTCACCTTTTCATACTAAATTTATGCTGACATTTACTCCTGGATCTTCTGCCTAGTCCTTTCGGAATATAACACTATCTTTATTGCTGTCCTGCTATGCTCTACTCTCTAGGTAAAGTTAATTCCTCCTCATTTTGTGGTCATTTTAATGGCTGTATAGTAGTCCACCACACACGTACCTTACGTTTTTAAACCAATCCCCACCTACTAGGTATTTGGTATATTTCCTACTTTTCCATACTATACGTGTAGTTTGGGACTAAATTAAATGAATCCTATGCTTTCGTGGCTCAAGTTGTGCAAATTCTCCTTTTACCCTTTTCTGTGAAATATTTTTAAAACAATATGCTTTTTGGCTTCAATTATGGGATAACTGGGGGCTTCCCAGGCAGTGCAGTGTTTAAAAAAAAAAAAAAATTCGCCTGTCAGTGCAAGAGAAGCAAGGGACACGGGTTCCATCCCTGGGTCGGGAAGATCCCCTGGGGGAGGAAATAGCAAGGTACTCTAGTATTTTTGGGGCTTCCCCGGTGGCTCCGACTGTAAAGAATCTGGATGAAACTGGAGCCCATTATACAGAGCGAAGTAAGCCAGAAAGATAAAGACCATTACAGTATACTAACACATATATATGGAATTTAGAAAGATGGTAACGATAACCCTATGTGCAAAACAGAAAAAGAGACTCCTATGTATAGAACAGACTTGTGGACTCTGGGAGAAGGCGAGGGTGGGATGTTTCAAGAGAACAGCATTGAAACACGTATATTATCTAGGGTGAAACAGTTCACCAGCCCAGGTTGGGTGCATGAGACAAGTGCTCGGGCCTGGTGCACTGGGAAGACCCAGAGGGATTGGGTGGAGAGGGAGGTGGGAGGGGGCACCGGGATGGGGAATACATGTAAAAAAAAAAAAAAAAAAAAAAAAGGTACACTATGGTTGTGATAAAAAAAAAATAAAAAAATAAAAAAAAAAAAAAAGAATCTGCCTGTAATGCAGGAGACCGGGGTTTCATTCCTGAGTCGGGAAGATCTCTGGAGCCTAGGAAATCCCATGGACAGAAGAGCCTTGCGGGCTACGGTCCATAGAGTCACAAAGAGTCGACACGACTGAGCAACTAACACTTTGTAGTATTCTTTCTAGGATAATCCCATAGCAAAGGAGTCTGGCGGGCTCCTAAGGAGTCCACGGGGTCCTAAAGAGTCGGACTGACAGAGATCGCAGGAACCGACAACCCTGCCTGGCTTTCAGATTACCCACGCGAGACTTTCGATGGACACCAGAGGGCGCAGTTTCCCAGCTCCGCCTCAGCCACATCCGGGTTCAACCGCAGGTTCCGACTGACAGCAGGCGGAACCTTTCTTCCTCCTATTAAGTTGCGCGGCGGGGACCCTTTAAGCCACCACGCACAGCTTTCCACTGGTACAGCGGATACCTTGACGCCGGGGAGGCGCACGTGATTATTCTACTTGCTACTTGCTTCATCGTGAGTAGCATGGACCTGCTTGCGGAAGAGTTTGGGAACCTGACCCCGGAGCAGCTGGCTGCGCCGATCCCAACTGTAGAGGTGAGTGCAGGGTAAATAGCGGAAGGGGCTGTGATGTGTCCCCGAGAGGCGTTGCCCCCAGAGTCCTGGCGGTGGAGCGGGGCGGGCCGCGGCTTCCGCGCATGCTCAGGACTCCGCGCTGGCTCGGGGTTCCGCGGGTTCACTGCCTAGCCGGCCGCTGGACCCACGTGCAATGGTTGAGCTGGGGGAGCTGGCAGGCTCCACGCTGGCCTAGCAGCCCCGCCCGCGGCTCCGGAGTTGGAGCCGTTCTAGTGTACGTGTGTTGTCAGGGGAGTACTGACTCACCCACCTTGGGGGACGTATTGCATCTTTGCTTCCTTGTAAAGGATGCTGAGGTCCAGGGAGCTTAGGTTCCCACCGCTGGCTGTGGTGTTAAAACCAAATCGTCTGAATCCCGGGTCAGTAATTTCTCCTTTTCACCGGGAACTCAAGTTTGGATTGCAAGAGTATTTTAAGTACCCAGAAAATTTACTCCAAATTTTAAGTGTTTTCTTGGGGAGTACCCCTGTAGCTTTCATCAGCTTCTCAGAAGTTAAGGATAACTGTCCTACTCTGAGCTGCCTGATGAAGTTCAGCTGTTGATGTAATTTTATTTTTGGAAAGGTACATATAACTTAAAATTTTAGTTGGCATCGGTTGGCACATGGAGAAATAGTCCAGGGAGAGATTCACGTATCGGGAACAAGACACTTGAAACCTGGAGGCATGGCCATGTGGTAGTTTTGAGAAATAAAAATAAATCCAGTAGTATTGGAGTGTGAAAAAGTAGAGGAGAGATTAAAGGTGACAGATAAGGGTCCTGGTTATGAAAGGTTTTGTTAGACATTTGAAGGAGGCCTAGGATGCTATTGACAGGTTTAAGCAGGAGAATGACTGACAAGATCAATTAATCTATTTTTTTAAATTTTTATTAGTTGCTAATTAGAGGCTAATTACTTCACAACATTGCAGTGGGTTTTGTCATACATTGACATGAATCAGCCATGGAGTTACATGTATTCCCCATCTCGATCCCCCCTCCCACCTCCCTCTCCACCCGATTCCTCTGGGTCTTCCCAGTGCACCAGGCCCGAGCACTTGTCTCATGCATCCCACCTGGGCTGGTGATCTGTTTCACTATAGATAATATACATACTGTTCTCTCGAAACATCCCACCCTCGCCTTCTCCCACAGAGTCCAAAAGTCTGTTCTGTACATCTGTGTCTCTTTTTCTGTTTTGCATATAGGGTTATCATTATCATCTTTCTAAATTCCATATATATGTGTTAGTATGCTGTAATGTTCTTTATCTTTCTGGCTTACTTCACTCTGTATAATGGGCTCCAGTTTCATCCATCTCATTAGAACTGATTCAAATGAATTCTTTTTAGTGGCTGAGTAATATTCCATGGTGTATATGTACCACAGCTTCCTTATCCATTCGTCTGCTGATGGGCATCTAGGTTGCTTCCATGTCCTGGCTATTATAAACAGTGCTGCGATGAACATTGGGGTGCACGTGTCTCTTTCAGATCTGGTTTCCTCAGTGTGTATGCCCAGAAGTGATATTGCTGGGTCATATGGCAGTTCTATTTCCAGTTTTCTAAGAAATGTAATCTATTTCTTAATAATCATTCTGCAAATTACATTCTAAGGAATTACAATCAGTCTATTAGATTCAGTTTCTGAGTGCCTTCGTACATGCTGATTTTCATCAGGTGATACTGGATTTTTAACTTTGTTTGTTTGTTTGTTTTAAATTGGAGTATAGCTGGTTTGAATTTTTAACTCTTGAACTGCTATTTAAGAGCCAGCATTTACTGAGCACTTACTATGCGCCAGCTCTGTTCAAACCTAATGAGCATTATGTTATTTAATCCTATGAAGCAAGTAATATTTTTGTCCCATTTTGCCAATGAAGATTTTTAAGACACAGAGAAGTTAAGTAACTAACCCAGTGTCAGAAGGCCATTAAGTGACTGTTGGGGATTTTGGATTTCAGCAGACTCCAGAGCTCCTGACCTTAACTGCTGACTGAACTGCTTCTCCAGAGAGCTGTAGGATTTCTGTTTCTTCTCTGAATTTGCACAGCCATGAAGGGACCAGTAACATGCTTCCAGTCTTCTGATTTAGAAATAAGAGCTCCTCTTCTTGACCCTCTGCATCCAGTCCATCATCCCATCTTAAGGGCCCCAACTACAAAATGTACTCAATTCTGACATTCCCACTGTTCTCCGAGTCAGCCACTGTCATCTCTTACTTCCTTGGCTTCTACCTTGTCCCATTCCAGTCTGTTCTCTGCTCTCTCACCAGGGCCATCAGTTTAAACATGCAGATATGTTCACATTGCTCCCTTGGTTAAAATTCTTCAGTCTGCCCATTGCTCTCAGGGCAACAAAAATCTAGTCTTTACCATATTGTTAAGGCTTTTCTCAATCTGGCCACTGCTTACTCTCTAACTTGTTTCTCCCCACCTGTCCCCTCCCCACTCCAACTCCTCAGGCTCTTTCTGCTCTCCTCATGTAGCCCATTCTGGTCTGTCTTTCGTTCTTCTTTGGAGATTTACATCCAGTAAAATGCAGAAGTACTTACTTAGTGTTCATTTACATTAGTTTTTGCAGTTATGTATACCCAAATAACTACCACCCCATACAAGATACAGAACATCTTCATCATTGCACAAAGTGCCCTTTTCAGTCTGAGCCCTACGCCACCGTTTGATTCCTGTCATCATAGGTTAGTTTTGCCAGACTCATTTCTTTCATATGTGTGTGCGTGTTGATGTTTGATAGAAACCAACAAAATTCTGTAAAAGCAATTATCCTTCAATTAAAAAAAATTTTGTTTTGAAAAAGATGACTTTTTTTAAGAGTAGTTTTAAGTTCAGAGCAAAATTGAGAGGAAGATACAGAGATTTTCTATTTACCCTTGCCCCCACTTACCTTTTCTTCAAAAATGTTTTTCCATTTTCCAGATTGTGTGCCTCCCTCTCTGGCCACTCCTCGATTCTCTTTGCTCAGTGTGCTTTCTGCTGCTCTAAATGGTGGAGTGTTTCTGATCTCACGTCATGGAGCTCCTCTCCACCTACACTCTGTAGGTGATCTCATCTGTTTCATGACTTCCCCTGCCATCGTCTGCTGACTTTCCCTGATTTAGGTCTCCAGGCCACTCTTCCCAAGTTCCAGACTGATTTGTTGTCTATTTGGCATCTCCACCTGCATGTCTAATGGATATCTCAAACTTAACCTGCCGCCAGCCATGTTAAGAAGGTTGCCCCTTCACGCTAAACCTGCTGCTCCGGCAGCATCCCTGCCTCCTCATCTCCAGAAATGGCAGCACTAGGGTATCAGCCTCAATTCCTCTTTCTCAGATTCCTGCATCTCATCTGCTATCAAGTCCTGTTGACTAACTTCACATCGTGTTTTCCTCAGCAACAGTTTCTCACTATCTGTATTGTTGTTAGCCTAGAGTTTTGCAAACTCCTAGATGATCCCTCTGTGTCTAACTGTGTCTTTTCTCACCCCAGCAGCAGGAGTGATCCAGTTAAAATGGATCACATCATCTTGTCACTCTTTTGTTCAAAACCTTCTAGCACTTGTCTGTTGCCCAAAGTCAAAAAATTTTACAGTTTCTTACAAGGTCTTACATGATCCTTGGGCTCTTACTCAGAAACTGTATTTTCTTACTTTAGACTCAGTTCTAACCATTTGTCAGATTTCCCATGAACAGGTTAGATACCATTCATGAGGAGTTGTATCATGGTAGGCTGTTTACAATCTCAGGAAGGTGTGAAGAGCAGGCCTAAGAGCTGAATATGGCAGTTTGCAGCTGTTTAAAATAGGTGAACACTGGGTGATATCTTTCTTCAGCCTGGGCTCTGACCAGGTGCTAGTTGAGGAAAAATAGGAGGGAGAAAAAACTCCCTTTGGGTTGAAAGACCCAGATTCCCCACCAAACTTTCTGAAACTTACTAATACTTTCCCTTTCTCAAACTGGCAAACCCTCCTTACTCAGGAAGAGTCATGAGAATAAAATAAAGATGAAAAGTGCTTGGAATCTTGAGTCATCAAAAAGAGATTAAAGTATATTCTGTTTAAGAAATCTGTGGTTTATATATGCTTGTGTGTATGCATGTGCATGTACAGTACATATATGATTGGCATAAAAATGTTACAATGTAAAAATTGTTCTTTTTGTTTCCACTTCCTTTCTTTTGCTTACTGTGATAAAGTAAGTCACTTTTGGTACATTAAAATAACCTCATGAAAATATTGTGATTGCTGACACAGAGTTCTGATACTTTTATTGTTCTGATTCACAGGAAAAATGGCGGCTGCTTCCAGCATTTTTAAAGGTAATTAGTATCTAATAACAGTTATTTTTCCAATCAAGAGTCAAGAAATAAGCTTTTTTTAAAATTAAATTTTTGTCACCAACATTTTTTGACTTTGTACAATTGTGCACTTTTCTAAGTTGTAGAAATATGAGAAATTATAAGGCAGTAACCCTGTCTATAAAGTACTAGGTAGGGGATTGTAATCTAATTTTAGAGGTGGGAAGTAGTTTACATTGTCACTTGGCATAGGACTAATACAAACCAAAGTGCTGCTGGCAGAAGATTGATGCCACAGGTGGTCAGAAAGGGCCTCCTAAAGGAGGTGAGACGTAAACCACACCCTCAGAGGAGCGGAGGACTTCCCACTTGGCTCAGTGGCCTGGCAGAGTGTAGTCCACGGGGTTGCAGAAGAGTTGGACACGACTTAGCTGCTAAACAACAGCAACGAGAGGAAAGGAATTACCTAAGCTGAAAGATAGCGTGCGGGGAGCATGGCTTAATAAAAGTCCTCAAGAGGAGGATCCACGGGGTCCGTTGAAAACAAGAGTCCAGTCTGCTTGGCTGGAGTGGATGAGTGGTTCAGACAAAGGAAGTACAGATTTTAAGGTTCCTGTTATCATTGAATTTCAGTTTTAAAGAGCTAATGCTAAATAGTAGCAGGTTCCACAATGAGAGACCACTTGACACCCAGTAGGATGGTTGTAGTCAAGAAAGACAGACAATAACAAGTGCTGGTGGGGATGCCAAACAATTGGAACCCTCACACTCTGCTAATGGAGACGCAGCCGCTTTGGAAAGCAGCCTGGCAGTTTGTCAAATGGTTGAACATAGAGTTACTGTATAATCCTACAATTCTACTCCTAGGTATTTACCGAAGAGGAACAAAATCATGTGTCCATGCAAAAACTTGTACACAGATGTTCATAGCAGCATTATTTATAATAGCCAAAATAGAAACAACTCGAATACCAACTGATGGATGGCTAAATGAAATATGATATATCCATACAATGTAATGTTTTTGGCAATAGAAAGTGCCAATACATGCTACAACGTGGATGAATCTTGGAAACATGCTCAGTGAAAGAGTAGAGGGTTGAAAAATGTGTTGCGTTTTTTCCATCTCAGTTCTGTATTATTGGCAGAAGGGAGCGTGCTGGCAGATGAGGCTAGGAATCGTCAAGGCCAGATTTCTGACCAGTTTTTACGGTCCATGGGCTGCTGAAGAGTCTGGAAAGCATGTCTGTGAGAAATAGTGGAAGAGCCTCTTCAGCCTAGAAGAGAGGACCTAAAAGAGATGTGAGAACTAAATGAACTGTGGTGGAGAAGACATTTTCTTCAGAAAAGACAATTAAGCCCATGGGGGGAAACTGTGGGATGTTAGACTACAGATCATTATAAGAGTTAATTTTTCCCCCAGCAATCAGGACTAGTTCAAAATGGGATAGCTGCTTAGTAAGCCAGTGAGATCCCTCAAAAGAGGTGTAATTAAAGCAGAGGCCCTGTGATGCTTTCTGTTGGGTGTATTCTAGAAGTGTTGAGCTAATTGTGTTTGAACATTAATGTAAAAAGTTGAACACTTACAGTCCTTTAAAATCCTAAGACTTTGGAGTCTGTGTTTAGCATTTCAGGGTTTTTCCCAGCAGCACACAGCACTGTCTTTGTAGCTGTATTACTTTTGAGATGAAAGGCAGTCACTGGAGCTGATCTGTTCGTGGGTCTCTGGGATTCACCTTGCTTCCAATTTTAAATGCATTTATTTTTGGTTTCCTTAATAGAGATCCTTATTTTTCCCCCTCATTCTTCTAAAAGTGATATGAAAGACCAGATATGGGGAAATCATAAAATCGCTTACATAGGAGCAAGAAAAAAAGAAAATAGGCATTGTTTGGGGGTTGGAGAGATGATGCTTGATTGCTGTATTTTTTTCTTGGATTTTCTTTCCTGCCTAATTTGTTAGCTCATGTGGAGTCATTAGGTATATATCTTGAATTCCAAACATCAGGTTGTTTTTCAGGGAGGAAAGTTTGAGGGTGTTCTAGTAAGATGGAGGAGGAATGGAATGAGGACATGAAAATAGAAAATTTTGCCAAGTAAAATTCATGGATTTTTTGTGGTCACTTTGGTTTTGGGGAAAATTTATAGATCAGGTTAAAGCCCATTGTGTAATCTGCTATTTCATTGCTAACCTTTTATTTTTTATCCATTTAGGTGAAAGGCCTTGTGAAACAGCATATAGATTCATTTAACTATTTCATTAATGTAGAGGTAAGCATCAGATCTTGGGAAAGGATATGATTACGAATGAACTGGAAGCCAGAGTCTTTCCTCATGTTACTCTTTCCATTGCAGATAAAGAAAATAATGAAAGCCAATGAAAAGGTTACAAGTGATGCTGACCCCATGTGGTACTTAAAGTAAGGAACTGACTACTCTTAGTTTGGTATTTTGATCATGTTTAACATTTTTGTGTGTGTGTGTGTCTGGTATTTTTTTATAGTGATTGTAGTTGCTATCAAAATTCTTTTAACATAATTCTCCTTTTTTGTTTTGAATAGGAAGATAATTATCAAATGTTCAATTTTTAATTGGTAAGCTAATGATAACAAGTAGATATGAGTGAAAAGTTACTGAAACTTAGGTTTAAGCCTTTCTTAAAAACAATTTTAGACTTAAAGAATTACAAAAATAGGACAGAGTTCCCATGTTACCCTTCACCCAATTTATACTGATGTTAACGTCTTATGGAGTCATAGCACAATTAGCCACACTGGGAAATCAACACTGATACAATACTGTCAACTAATGTTAGTTTTCCCACAGATGTCCTTTATCTGGTCCAGGATTCAGTCCAGGACCTGCGTCAGGTCCGGGTGGCAGATGTCTCCTTTGTTCTCTCCAGCCTGTGGCAGCTCGTTAAGTTCTCTTAGTCTTGGCCTTTCACGTGACCTTGACATGTTTTTGACCTTGACACTTTTGAAGAATTCTGGTCAGTTGTTTTGTAGAAGGTCCTCACTTTGGGTGGGTGCATTGTTGTTTGCTCATGGCTGTGATGGTTTTTCCCTTTTTGGCCTCGGAAGCGATGCTTTATATCTCTTACTGCACCATATCAGGTGGTATAGATGTCAGTCTGTTTTATGATTGGTGATTTTAACTTTGTTCACTTGGTTAAGGTGGTATCTTCCAGGTTTCTCCACAGTAAAGTTACTATCTTTGCTTTAGTTATCAATCACTGTCTTACAGGGTGATCCTTTGAGACTATGCAAGTGTCTTATTTGTCATACTGTTTTACCTACTACTTTAGCATGCATTGGTGGTTTTTACCTTTAAAAGTAATTACTTTGGTATTTACCTAGTGGCCAGTATCTTTTTCTATCATTCCTTCTACATTAATGTTAGAATTCTACTGTGAGAAGAGCTTTTCTCTTCCCCTCAGTTTCTATCTGTTCACTTCAGTTTAGTTCAGTTCAGTCGCTCAGTTGTGTCCAATTCTTTGCAACCCCATGCACTGCAGCACGCCAGGCCTCCTTGTCCATCACCACCAGCTCCCGGAGTCTACTCAAACTCATGTCCATTGAGTTGGTGATGCTATCCAACCATCTCATCCTCTATCGTCCCCTTCTCCTCCCTCCTTCAATCTTTCCCAGCATCAGGGTCTTTTCAAATGAGTCAGCTCTTCACATCAGGTGGCCAAAGTATTGGAGTTTCAGCTTCAGCATCATTCATTATTCTAATGAATATTCAGGACTGATTTCCTTTAAGATGGACTGGTTGGATCTCCTTGCAGTCCAAGGGACTCTCAAGAATCTTCTTCAACACCACAGTTCAAAAGCATCAGTTCTTTGGCACTCAGCCTTCTTTATAGTCCAGTTCTCACATCCATACATGACTACTCGAAAAACCATAGCTTTGACTAGATGGACCTTTGTTGGCAAAGTAATATCTCTGCTTTTTAATAAGCTGTCTAGGTTGGTCATAACTCTTTGGAAGACCAAGGAGTAAGCATCTTTTAATTTCATGGCTGCAGTCCCCATCTCCAGTGATTTTGGAGCCCCCCAAAATAAAGTCTGTCACTGTTTCCAATGCTTCCCCTTCTATTTGCCATGAAGTGATGGGACTGGATGCCATGATCTTAGTTTTCTGAATATTGTTTTAAGCCAACTTTTTCACTCTTCTCTTTTACTTTCATCAAGAGGCTCTTTAGTTCTTCTTCGCTTTCTGCTATAAGGGTGGTGTCATCTGCATATCTGAGGTTATTGATATTTCTCCTGGAAATCTTGATTCCAACTTGTGCTTCATTCAGCCCAGCATTTCTCATGATGTACTCTTCATTTAAGTTAAATAAGCAGGGTGGCAATATACAGCCTTGACGTACTCCATTCCCAATTTGGAACCAGTCTGTTCCATGTCCAGTTCTAACTGTTGCTTCTTTACCTGCATACAGATTTCTCAGGTGGTCTGGTATTCCCATCTCTTTCAGAATTTTCCATAGTTTATTGTGATCCACATAGTCAAAGGCTTTGGCATAGTCAATAAAGCACTTGGTGTTCCTGGAACTCTCTTGCTTTTTGGATGATGCACCGGATGTTGGCAATTTGATCTCTGGTTCCTCTGCCTTTTCTAAATCCAGCTTGAACATCTGGAAGTTCACAATTCATGTATTGCTGAAGCCTGGCTTGGAGAATTTTGAGCATTACTTTGCTAGCATGTGAGATGAATGCAATTGTGTGGTAGTTTGAGCATTCTTTGGCATTGCGTTTCTTTGGGATTGGAATGAAAACTTACCTTTTCCAGTCCTGTGGCCACTGCTGAGTTTTCCAAATTTGTTGGCATATTGAGTGCAGCACTTTCACAGCATCATCTTTTAGGATTTGAAATAACTGGAACTCCTCTAGCTTTGTTCGTAGTGATGCTTCCTAAGGCCCTCTTGACTTAGCATTCCAGGATGTTTGACTCTAGGTGATTGATCACACCATTGTGATTATCTGGGTCATGAAGATCTTTTTTGTATAGTTCTTCTGTGTATTCTTGCCACCTCTTTTTAATATCTTCTGCTTCTGTTAGGTCCATACCATTTCTGTCCTTTATTGAGCCCATCTTTGCATGAAATGTCCCCTTGGTATCTCTAATTTTCTTGAAGAGATCTCTAGTCTTTCCTGTTCTATTGTAATTTTATTTAAATCAATATGAACTCGTAGATAGTTATTTTATTATTTACATCATAATCCAGTACTGTCATTATTTTATTTCTCAAATAGTCCCAGATTTGGCCATAGGAAGCTTCCATCGAGTTGACCTTTTAACATGTCCCTGTTTCAAGCACTCCTTTACTTTCTGGTACCATGAGATGTGGTTCATGTAGTATTTTCCCTGTTCCAGCCTGGAATCAATCATTTTTCCAAGTATCCTTAGTCTCCTTTATTGGAGAGTAGTGTTTTAGTCACCAAGATTTGGGTACTGAAGTCTCAGTAGACAGAGCTATACCTATTGTTTATTCAGTCCTAGGATACATAGAAAGTAGTTTCAGAATTGTTAATTCACCACTCTGTGAGAATAAAATTTACTAATATTTGTATGTTGCCTTTCTTACAAGAATGATAGAAAACTATAGATACTCTTGCATTTGCTTTTTTTCTTAAGTATCATTTTTAGGAAGCTATAATTTCAGTATTTTTGTTGAGAGATTTACCGTATTTTTTTAAGACGTCTGCTTGATGGTATTTCCTCTCCTTTGTAAACCGTGTGTTCTATGACTTCAGGATCTCCAATTGTAATTTTTTAATTTGCCATCCTGTGCAAGATAAGCATTTGTCAAAAGCATAATCTCGTATTTGGAAGGAAAATAGCTTGATTGTGTATATGTTCTTTGAAGAAGTATAATTGATTCTGGAATAACTTGCCTTTCAGATATCTTAATATCTATGTCGGGCTCCCTGATGTTGAAGAAAGCTTCAACGTAACTAGACCAGTGTCCCCTCATGAGGTAATTACCAACCATAATTTAATTGTATTCATTTGGCTTAATTGGAAGACTCAATGCCCTTAAAATAAATTCTTAAAAAATGATTTAAAGATAGGGGAAAAAAGTATTCTCCAAAAAGGGAGAAGACAACGAATTCAAAGTAGTTCAAGAAGGCTGAGGCTGCAGCCGTCATAATTCCTCCTGACGCTGAGGAAAGCTCACGGGTGTTACTGCAGTTAGAGAAAGAGGATGCAAAGGTTTCTTGGAGGGATTTTGACTCTTGGAGAGATAGGGAGCGTGGGAGAGCCAGGTGGGTGGGCAGTCATGGGACCCACAGCAAGACTAGGGGTGCAGGTATTATAGGCTCTGCCATACAACTCTATTCCTATTGATAGCAGAGAGCATCCGAGGGGGACAGAGGGGTCCCTGAGGCAGTTTTGGGGTCCTGTCCAGTTTCATTCCCATTTGAAGGGATTGTTAAGACCATGAATATCTGCCTATCATGGCTATTACATTCAGTTCAGTTCAGTTGCCCAGTCGTGTCCAACTCTTTGCCTCCTCATGAATCACAGCACGCCAGGCCTCCCTGTCCATTACCAACTCCGGAGTTTACTCAAACTCATGTCCATCGAGTCGGTGATGCCATCCAACCATCTCATCCTCTGTTGTCCCCTTCTCCTCCTGCCCCCAATGCCTCCCACCGTAGTTTTATTAAAAAAGAAAACAAGATAATATTTATATAGTACTCTGTACCAGCACCATTCTAAAATACATATTCACACTTTTAGGAATTAAAGTTACTCACATGACTGAGATACAGAAAATTTATTTAAAACTTAATTGGTAGAACCAGCATTTGAACACAGGCCAGAGTCATGCCAGCCTGCCTTCTGTCAGGCCTGAAGAAGGCTTGATCTAATTAAATAAATGGTATAAACAATGCTTACTGGTCAATAATAGGGCTTCACAGTAGCTCAGATGGCAGAGAATCTGCCTGCAGTATGGGAGACCCGGGTTTCCGTCTCTGGATTGGGAAGATCCCCTGGAGAAGGAAATGGCAACCTACTCCAGTGTTCTTGCATGGAGAATTTCATGGATAGAGGAGAATTGGACATAACTGACGTGACTGTTTTAAAACCCTAGGCACTATTAGGCTAGAAAAAAGTTTGTATCTGTCTTTGCTTTAGTAAAAGCCCAAGAGAGGATTCAGCATCATGAACTGTATGACTGAGGTTCAGAAGAATTCTCTTTTTGAGACCACAAGCCATCTGATGACCTTCAATATATTAGAGAAGTCTTTGGAAGATTCTGGTGTGTTTCCTGTGTCCAATCATGGCCCAGGCAAGGGCATCACTTAGTGAGTCTTGGCCACGTAAAAGTAAAGCTCGCACTGACCATTCCAAAAGTTCTGCAAGTGACTCAGAAAGTGTTAGAATGATGTGTTGAGTGATTTGCGCTCTGACATGCCACTTGCAAAGGAATTTTGTGATATAGTTTAGCTTATTTGAAGAAGACAAGGAGATTCATTAAATTTTTTGTTTGTGTGTGTACACACTTCAGTTGTGTGTGTGTGTATTCAGTCACTGAACTGGTTGTTAACTGTTTTGAGTAAACCAGCCACATTGATGACTTTCCAAGGTCCCAGTTTGCAAAGTAGGCTCTAATGGCTTCAAAGATGTGGGAGGAGACTGGTGATAACATCAGGCCAGGGAGAAGAGACTCAGTCCAAGATTATTGTCCCATTTCTGGGCTGGCAGGGGCAGGGATGCTGTGGCAATGTCTAGATCCATGGTTGGCATTGTCCCCTCATGGAAAAGGTAAGGTCATAACTCCCAGCTCCCTTAAGGCAGCACGGGAGCAGCTGGGTACCATGGAGGGTCAGAGCCCAGCATGGGCCTTACTTCTGCTTAAGACTGGCTCTTCGAGGCTGTTGGAACCCATTCTTGCCCCCGAGGAGGAGCAGTGATTGTCTGATTCTCTTCCAGTGCCGATTGCGCGACATGACGTACTCCGCTCCCATCACGGTGGATATCGAGTACACCCGAGGCAGCCAGAGGATCATCCGTAATGCCTTACCCATTGGCAGGTGAGGCTGACGCTGCCTGCATTGTGGCCCTGTGAGGTCTCCCCTGAGCAGTACTGGCGCACTCCTTGCCCCATTCTCTCATCTGAATGTGGGGGAAATGGAGCCTACTTCACCGGGTTGCTTTATGGGTCCAGTGAGTCAGTACATGTAAAACACTTGGAGCAGCGTCCATCACGTTGTTATGTTTCAGTTGTGAAGTTAAGGAAACCACTTAGGTTTCCTCCTGTAACTCCAGGCTGTTAGGGAAGCACTAGGTAAGATAGCATTTCATTCAACTCTCCTGGGCCCGTCTTGGTGGATTTTTGCATATTTTGAGTTTTCTTGGAAGAATGAATGTTCATAGCAGTATTTAGGGGAGAAGTTATTTGCCCAGGACAAGTTTGGAAATGATAGCACCAGCTGGCATTTTTGCTGCCTGCTTTTCCTAATTAGAGAAATGTATCAACTCTCCTGTGGAAATGGACCCGATCCACGATATTGTGTATTTAATGATGATGTTGGACTTTAAACACAATGCAACTAATTGCCACTCAAGTGTTGCCCCTTGCCTCAAAAGAACTTAATAAACATGCGTTTGTTTATTATTAGGCCAGGAGCTCAGTAAATATCCATTTGTTCATCAAATATGCACCAGCTACCTGGTACTGTCACGTGCTATGCTCGTACCTCTGTCAGGTAAATAGAAGATACTTAAGACATTGCTCACTTGGCTACATTCTCTTCATTCTTCACTTAGAAAAAGAAATAGGGATATTAAACAATTTTTAATCTTTGTTTTAGCACAACTGTTTATCAGGGTTAAAAGAGAAGAGCTTCTCTCTTATAAATGGACCAGAGTTGTGTCCAGTTAAATGTTCTTTTTCAGAATTGCCTGGTTAGTTCTGAGAGTCTCTGGTTCCTTACACTTTAATTCATAGTGCTGTCTCTATGTGACTAAGGCGAGTGGCTTTGTTTTCCACAAAAGACTTGCCGCCATTTGTTGACAGTCACTCAGGATTGTCTGCAAAGTTGAAGGGAACCGTGGATTTGGGTTTTTGTTTTCTGTACCAGAAAAACGGTGTGCCTGAGGATGTACTTCGTTTCACTCAGCTCTCCCACAATACCATCCCTCTGCCTTTCCTCAAATGTCCAACAGGAATGCAGACCCCTCAGTGGTGTGTGCACTGGCCAGCTTGTGTTCTGTTCAGCCTTTTTGCCAGTGACCATCTGAATATGATATTTTCTTTTTGTTTTATTTTAAACAGAATGCCCATAATGCTGCGTAGTTCAAACTGTGTTCTTACAGGAAAAACACCAGCAGAATTTGCTAAACTGAATGAATGTCCTTTAGATCCAGGTAGGTGTGATTTCTTAGATTTCCCCTCCACTTCCTTCTTTTGTTTTTGCTTTTGCTTTTGTTTTGCTCTTGCTGTTGATTTACCATTTTTGTCTCAGAAACAAGATCAGCCTTTCTTCTTTTAGTGAATTAGGATAAAATTTTGTTTGCAAAACATATAGCAGTTTGGTTTCAACTTAATTCTGTTTGTTTGTATTTTTAAAGGTATGTTGTTTCCTCTTTTATTTCAGGCTTAAAGCTTTAATACCTCAGTTCAGTTCAGTTCAGTCGCTCAGTCGTGTCCGATTCTTTGTGACCCCATGAACCGCATCACGCCAGGCCTTCCTGTCCATCACCATCTCCCAGAGTTTACCCACACTCATATCCATTGAGTCGGTGATGCCATCTGACCATCTCATCTTCTGTTGTCCCCTTCTCCTCCTGCCCTCAATCTTTCCCAACATTAGGATCTTTTCAGATGAGTCAGCTCTTCGCATCAGGTGGCCAAAATATTGGAGTTTCAGCTTCAACATCAGTTCTTCCAATGAACACCCAGGATGTTCTGGTTTATTGCTATGGTTTATCAGGCTGTCTCTTTGCTCAGTGGTGTTTTTTAGTATGCTTAAAAATTCAAGAATCATCTCATGAAATTCTTTGTCTATCTCATCTGAAAAGACACAAGTAGCTCACTTCCGGCTGTTTTGAATGCTGTATCAGGGCAAAAAATGAGTCTTCTGTTTAAATTTTTTAAAGTTATATTTTCGTACTTATTTCTAGGCAGTTTTTTTTAAGCTTCATGCTTAGCAGTTTACAGAATGTTATTTTAATTCCTTAATTCATGTTTCACTTTGATTTAGTTTATGGTTAATCTAGTTCCTTTATAGTTGCATATATTGTTTCCCTGATAGCTTAGTTGGTAAAGAATCAGCCTGCAATGCAGGAGACCCTGGTTCAATCCCTGGGTCAGGAAGATTCACTGGGGAAGGGATAGGCCACCCACTCCAGTATTTTTGGGCTTCCCTTGTGGCTTAGCTGGTAAAGAATCCACCTGCAGTGTGGGAGACCTGGGTTCGATCCCTGGGTTGGGAAGATCCTTTGGAGAAGGGAAAGGCTTCCCACTCCAGTATTCTGGCCTGGAGAATTCCATGGACTGTATAGACCATGGGGTCACAAAGAGTCAGACATGACTGAGTGACTGATGTAGAATCCCAGAAGGTTTTGGAAAGAGGATAACACAGAATGTGACTTTACTAGAGCAATAATAGGATGTTTTTCATAAGTCAAATATATTGCCTTGTTTTTGCTTATATGCTGAATGTAAAACAGTCTCACTTTATCCTGTTCTGAATTGTGTGCAAAAAAGTGTAACAATGTTTTATTAGTTTTGTCAAGTATAGAATATATTTTGGAAACCTGCTCTTAATCTGCCATTGTCAGTGATTTGTTGGAAAACTTGGAGCGAATTTTAATTTATACTGAAGATTGTCAGTTATTTCTGTGCTTATAAAATCTGAAGACTAATTTATTTGGCTTTTTTTAAAATTCACTTCTCATATGTCAGGACCTGATGATCCATAGACCAATAAGATGCATTCCTTGTCCTCCACAAATTTATCTTGTGGCTCATTTGTTTAAATCATGTGCTGAGACTGTTAACAATTTGTAAAACAATATTGACAAACCCCTTTAAATTAAGGAAATGGCAGCCTACTCCAGTATTCTTGTCTGGAGAATTCCATGGACAGAGGAGCCTGACAGGCTACAGTCCATGGGGTTGCAAAGAGTCGGACACGACTGCACTAGTCTCCCAGCACCATAACATGATGGTATTGAATTGGCTGAAAAGTTCGTTTGGATTTTCCTATGTTATAGAAAAACACAAATTAACCTTTTGGCCAACCCAGCAGAAAGACTAGGAGTTTGCTGCCACTGCTCAGCCGTGCTGTTGGAAGAATGGCTGGTGATGCTCTTCTTGTCTCCCTCCGGCAGGGGGCTACTTCATCGTTAAGGGAGTGGAAAAAGTTATCCTCATCCAAGAGCAGCTGTCTAAGAACAGGATCATTGTGGAGGCCGACAGAAAAGGGGCTGTGGGCGCTTCAGTCACCAGGTACGCACGGCAGAGCCGGGGTTCTTACGAAACGTCGGTCATCCCGTGGGCGTCAGATGGCTGTCACTGAATACAGAGGCAGCCAGTCATTTCTCTCCTAAAATAGGCAGTGTGACATTTAAACTAAACTCTCTGTCGTTCAGTTGGTTGTGTAAGTCTGTATCGTAGAGTATTGATTTAAAATTTTCAGTGATGAAAAGTGTGAGACATTGTTCAAAAGGCCATTAGTTATTTTATCCAAGTTGAACTTGGCTGCAGTCCATGGGGTCTCAAAGAGTTGGACATGACTAAGCGACTAACACACAGCATTAAAGGAACTTTTTCAAAAAGGTAAACGTTCTGGGAATAAAAAACATGTGGCATGGTTAAGATGTCAGTATGAAATAGTGTTTCTATTCTGATGCCTTATAATGAACTGCTCAGCTTAGAGTTTCAGAATTTTTCTTGCTGGTGAAGAGGCAGCTAACAATAATGCCCATTTGGTGAGCAGTTAGTAGGAGCCAGAGAGTGTATTAGGTGTGTTATATGTATTTGTCACCTCTGCCCTCAAAGATAAGTGCAGTTATTTTCAGGTGAGTAACAGGCCTTGCTCACAGGTTGACATTGACCATCAGAGGAAGCCAGCATTTGGGTCAAGATGTAATAATTCTGGAACCCACATCTTCCTGTTGTATGCAGCTTTTGAAGCCAGGGCAATCAGGATTTGAATCCCACAGTTGTTTACTAGCCATAAGGCACTTGGGAGTGAAATTACAGTACTTAACTTCTCTAAGCCTTGGTTTCTTTCATACATGATTTAGGGATAACACTACAAAATAAGTGTTAGTATGTAGGAGATTACAGCTAATGTTCATAGAGTGAATAACAGTGCACAGTATGTAACAGGTGATCAGTATGTGTTGTTATTGTGGTGGATTAAAGCTAGGAAATGTTTTTAAATCCATTAGGAAAGTTTCAGCTAACTGAGATATCAATAGGAGATTCCTTAGTTTCTTTTGACTTCACTATATACTAAAACTGTACTATGTTTTATTGGATTATTATTTTAAAAATTCATACTATGCATTCATTTCCTTGTGGTTTTCCTATTGCGGTGTAGACTCATTTTAAAGTTTTTCTTTTCAGATGTTTAAAATTGATCAGAAATATATCCCATATTAGAACAAAGCAGTTCAGGTGGAATCAAAGTGAAGTAGGTTAAAATGAATTGGTGATTATTGCTTATTCACCCATAGAACTTCTGCCATAATCTCACAGCTAAAGAAACAATTCTAGTGTTCTAAAATGTTCATGGAAGTGGCAAAGGAGGCTGGAGACGAGTTATGTGTCTTTCAAAGGTACCTGTTTGGAAGGACCTTACTGATCATTGCTGATCACTTGAATCTTATTGATTGTAGTTATTGTTTTTGCATGTTACTAGCTTGAAACTAGGTGGGAATGTAGTTTAACCAACTGTGTTTTCTTATAGCTCTACTCATGAGAAAAAAAGCAGAACCAATATGGCTGTGAAACAAGGACGGTTTTATTTGAGACATAATACTTTGTCAGAAGATATACCTATTGTCATCATATTTAAGGTGAGTTTTCAAGTATCGTCTGAAAATTATAAAGAATTCTTTTATACTTTCATTTTTATATATAGGTTAGAAAAATTGAGCCTGCAAATATCTTCTGAAAATTATAAATAATTTTTTATGGTTTATTTTCATATATAGGTAGAAAATTGAGCACAAGGAGTTGTAGGAATGTAAAGATTTATGACATAGAGAAATTGTCAGGCATGTAATATAAATTGAAAGCTAGTGAGGCTGGGGTTCAAATATTTTTAAAAGTAGTGATCTATTCTTTAAAATGGAAACACAATAAGGAATTCCAAAGATACAAAAGGATGTATAGTAATGAATAGGCCTGTCACCCACCTGTACCTAAAAACGTAGTTGTCCTACCCAGGAACACTGGTTTCTGGTGCATCCCTCTAGAGGTAGTCTATGCATGTACAGCACCTGAGTATGTTGTAGGTTTATGTTTTGTTTTTCGCTTACATTGGAGAAGGAAATGGCAACCCACTCCAGTACTCTTGCCTAGAAAATCCCATGGACAGAGGAGCCTGGTAGGCTACAGTCCCACGGGATCACAAAGAGTTGGACATGAGTGAATGATTCCACTTTCTTACTTTCACTTTTACTTACATATACTGCACCCTGTTTTGCACTTAGCTTGTTTTCTTTTTTGTAACTTACATCTTGAAGATAGAGTTTTATTAGTTCATATGCAGCTACTGTTTTTTTTATCTAAATGGTTCCATTTATAGGTGTACCATAATTTTTCTTATCAATGGGCGCACAGCTCTTGCTGTTTCAAAGCTGCTGTATTATTTTATTCAGAGTAAGGATATCTGTAGGCTAAGTTTCTAGAAGTGTAATTTTCTAGGTCAAAGAGGATGATCTGAGTCTTTTGTTCTTTTTTATGGACTTCGGGATTCCTGTGAATTTTTTCATAGATAACGAACCTTTAAGCTAAAGCTGATTTTTAAAATCTTCTTTGTGAATTGTTGACTTAGAACCCAAAAGACATTTTCCTGTAGAAATGATGTTCAAGTGATATTTACTGTGCAGTCACTGAGTTGTGTCCGACTCCGCAGGCCCATGGACTGCATCACGGCAGGCTTCCCCGTCCGTCACCATCTCCTGGAGCCTGCTCAAACTCATGTCCACTGAGAATTTTTAAATTTACTTCTTATTACCTTTCTTTGAAGTTTATGTTATTTGTAATTATATTTTTGTAAAAGACAAAGTAATTCTGTCTTTTCTTGAGGGGAATCCTACATTGCCCAACGCAGTATCTTGTATACATAGTGAGGTTTAGTGGATAAATTTTAGCTATGTGAAATTACATCTCCAGCAGAGGGCAGTATGTTACCATGCATCAGAAGGACTTTTATGGACAATTTCAGAGCTTATAAAGATGTGTAGGACTGCTTTCCTTAGACCAGAAATTATAAATTAATTATAATGCAGATACTGTTATGGCACGCTTATGGAAAATGGATCATTAGACACATGCATGTATTAAAACCAGAAAACTTTTAAATACTTCACCTGCGTAGGTGACAAAAGTTTGGTAAGACAGTTTTTTCTGTCAAATTTAATATTATGTTGTAAATGTATACATATATTCATAGCTGACTTAAATCCTTTCTAGAATCGGGCTATAAGTTAATAATGTGTATTTTTATGCAGCCAGTAGTTGAGATTTCCGGCTTCTCCCTTTCTGATTGTAAAATAGTCCTTACATTGAATTGAGAAAGTCACTAAAAAGTGTAACAACATTGGATAAAGTTTTTTAAGACCTTTTTTCCTTTTCTTTTGAAAAAATATACACACTGATTTTATTTTACTTTTTTCACTTAGCAATGAATTTTGAATAACTTTCCTCATCTATAAATAAAATCCACACCATTATTTTTACTAGGTATTGTATAGAATTCATGTATATGATATAATCTGTTTAAGCAAATTCCTAAAGTGGGACATGTAGGTGTCTTTTTTTGCTAAATTTTCACTCTTATGCACAGCACTGGAGGTCCGTGTACATACATGTTTGTATGTGTTGCTGATTATTTTGTGAGACTTAATTCCTGGGAGTGGGATTATATATTTTTTTAAAAACTTGTACATGTTGTTTAATTTTTCCCCTAAATGTATTCATTACATTTTAATCAGCAGTGTATACTAACTAAAATAAATATTTGAAAATTTTTAGGTCAAATAAATACATTGGTCACACATTGTCAATTTTTTTGGGTCTCTCACTAGAATTGTTTTAATGAACTTGCTTATTAACCACTGTTAAGACCTTCCCATTTGGGAGGCAGCATAGAATGAATATTCCATGTCTTACAATCAGGCAGATCCAGGTTGATTTCCAGTCTCTTCACTTACTAGTCTGTGTGGCCTTGGATAGATTTCCCAGTCTTCCTGAATCTTGGATAACTCATCTAAAGTGAGCATTTTACCTAAGGGGGGGTTCTTTAAAGAGCAAATGAGATAATATATTTTTTGCAAAGTAGACTGCATAGAAAAACAATGCTATTTCTTTTTAGTGAGTCCTCTTTACACATTTAACGTCAGAAGCCTGGGAAAATAAAGTAGGCTACCAGAAAAGTCACATCATTTCTCTTTTTGTGTTGTGTGGCCCTAACACAGACCTTGACAGTCATTAGGACTTGATGGTTGTTGACTGTAGCCAACAATTGGCTAAAAGTGACAGAAGCAGCAGGGTTTCCTGACTCCATGCTGAGTCTGAATATGACGGATAAAGCTTTTAAGACCTAGATCAGCCTTATTTATGGACTTGAATCACAATAAAGGTTCTCCTGCCCATGAATCTTCCCCACTTTTATTTTTTGTACCCCTCAGTATTCAGCAATTGTGCTGTGATGGCATCTGCAGACTGAAGATTTTTATGGAAAAAGAGGATAGATATCAAGGGGGCTGGGCATTGCATAATTTTGAAATTTTTGGTCTTTAAAGAGAAAAAAATTTACAGAGTTCAAGTGAGTGAATGCAGTTCTTTTGTTATCTACGTGGACTGCTTCTGGTAATGATAGGTTGACTTCTCTTTAAAGAAAAATCACTGGTTTCTGACTTAGATATTTTAAGAACTTACCTTTTCCCTACTTCACATAACATGTTGCAACATATCACCATTAGCTTGCGTATCATTCTCTTGTGCTCATTAGTATTCTTTCTGTCTCTAAACTTCACACTTTTAGTCACACTGAGTGGATATCCAAGGAGAAGACTTCCTGCCACTTTTTAAAGAGCACGTCCCCTTATTTTTGTTCTTATTGCTGATCGCCAGACTGGGTAACTTTCCGCGGAATTGTATTATCTGCTATTTTTTCATGAGGTTATTGAATAGCCTTCACTTTTGACTTACTCATTAGGTGAAATGATTTTAGATATCTGGAGTACAAAGAGTTCCATATAAAGCTGGTTTTCAGATGTCTAAATTATGTCTGTAGAGCAAAATGGTTGAGCATTTTGCTGTCGTTTCCATAGCAATATGTCATTTATTTGTAGCTGTGACTTCTGAAGGCTAAATAGTCATAAAGTTACTTCCATCTTTGGAGCTGGAGCACTATTGATGACGACCTGACTGAGTTATCACCCTGTGTTTCAGTGATCTGATATAGGAAGAGTTTAGGGCTTTTAGAGCTAAGCTTTGCCACAGATCATTCTTTCTGCATATATGGTGTCATTTACTGCGTGATGTATCTTTGGCATATCTTTGTTTCATAGTTTAAAAATATTTGGAAAGCCTAAGCAGTCTGTTTAGATTCATGTTAGGCCACTCGAGAGTTTTGTGCAGTTACAGACTTGCTCCTTAGATCAGCATCAGGACAATTTGAAGTGGCAGCTTCAAGGCAAGACTATTTCATTATTATTAAACACCAAAAGAGACAATCAAGAACACTGTCTTTTTTGCTTGGAGATTACTGAGCTAAAAAGTATTAAGGTGACATACGGTGACCTTCACGTGTTTAGGTGTTGTCTTGCCAAACGAAAGGGGGCTGACCTAGAATGCATCTGCTGTTTCAGCTCTAGGATTCTGTTTGTTTCAGTGAGGCCTTTTTCTGCTGTATCATTTTGCCTTCTTGGTTTGGCACCTGTTCTACACAGATCTCATCTGCTTTAGTGTTTTGTTTGGTTTGGTTTGGTTTGGTTTTCTTCAGTGTTTGGGCTTTCCCTGAGAAGTGAGATGCCTTAGTTACAAAGTTTTACATTCAAGATTTTAGAGAAAGATGACTGCAAACTATTGCCTTAGTGTTGTTTTTATAAAAATATGTTGGTTCCATTGAAACCCATTATTTTGAGAGATTGACAGGTAAAAATTAATTTATATTCTAACTGGCTTTTCACAGAGAAGTACTGTCATCTGTTATTTCTGAGTGGCTCCTTGGCAGACCACAAAGGATAGATGGTACTAGATATATGCCATCACCATCAGAGTAGATGCAACTCTGTGTTTGGTTAAAGGATAATCTAGGGTTCTTTTTTTAAATTAGAGCTGATAATTTTTTAGGATTGCTGTTCTTTAATCCATGAAAGATTAAATGTGTGTGAGTTTTTCTTTTTTTGACTGCACTGGGTCTTCATGGAGGCACACAGGCTTCTCTAGTTCATGTAGCCTTAGTAGCTCCATTGCATGTGGCATCTTAGTTCCCTGACCAGGGATCAAACCCTTGTCCCCTGCATTGAGAGGCAGATTCTTAACCACTGGACCACTAGGGAAGTCCTAGGAAGACCATGTTTTAATGAATCTGTGTAGTGTTTAGAGTTGCTCTCTGGTGTCCATTTGAATTAATGCATTGTATCAGAGATAAAAAAGACATGAAAACTGACATGAAAACTAACAAATAAAAAAAGGTGTGTATCCTGAAAACTTCTTCATTTTGTTCATGAAACAAAACGATTTTTCGAAACAAGTTGTATGCTTAAAATATTAAGTTTAGTGGATTTAACTCCCAAAGTTGGTTTATTGCTGAGTAACAAATTACAGCAGAGCCTCTGTTGGTCAGGGGTGTGGGCCTGGTAGACTGAGTAGTCCTGGCTCAGGGTCTCTACTGAGGCGAGGCATCCGCCAAGGCTTCAGTCATCTGAAGACTGGATTGGAGCTGGAGGTGGCTGACCCTCAGGGTAAGAGACCTGACTTCTCACCACTGGCCCTTCCATGGGAGCTGGAGTGTCTCCATGACATGGCCGCCGGTCCCCAGAGGAGCCAGCAAGAAGGTGCAGAACCTTTGTGACCCAGGCTCCAGAGTCGTAGAGTGGTTTTCTAACTTTTATGTATAGAACTGAGTCATTAAGTTTAGCCCACACCCAAGAAGAGGTGCATCTTGATGAGGGTGACAGAGGAGAGTGAAAAAGCTGGCTTAAAACTCAGCATTTAAAAAACTAAGATCATGGCATCCGGTCCCATCACTTCATGGCAAATAGATGGGGAAGAAGTGGAAACAGTGACAGATTTTCTTTTCTTGGGCTCCATAATCACTGTGGATGGTGACTGCAGCCACAAAATTAAAAGACATTTGCACCTTGGAAGAAAAACTATGACAAACCTAGACAGCATATTAAAAAGCAGAGACATTACTTGCTGACTAAGGTCCGTCTAGTCAAAGCTGTGGTTTTTCCAGTAGTCATGTATGGATGTGAGAGTTGGACCATAAAGAAGGCTGAGCACCAAAGAATTGATGCTTTAAATTGTGGTGCTGGAGAAGACACTTGCAAGACCTTTGGACTGCAAGGAGATCAAACCAGTCAGTCCTAAAGGAAATCAGTCCTGAATATTCATTGGAAGGACTAAAGCTGAAGCTTCAATACTTTGGCCACCTGACGAGAAGAGCTGACTCATTGGAAAAGACCCTGATGCTGGGAGGGGTTGGGGGCAGGAGGAGAAGGGGATGACAGAGGATGAGATGGATGGATGGCATCATGACTTAAAGGACATGAGTTTGAGCAAACTCTGGTAGATGGTGAAGGACAGGGAAGCTTGGTGGGCTGCAGTCCATGGGTCGCAAAGAGTCGGACACCACTGAGCGACTGAACAACAGCAACTGTCCTAGCAAGCTTCGAAACTTTCAGTAAGCTCACATCTGATCCAAGATACCCAGATTGAATTTGTATGATACAGACTATTAAAATTCAAATGTAGAGTGGTGGAATGTTGAGCTGGAAGGGACCTGGTTTGCCCTGTCATGATGGAAATGAAGACACTCAGGTGGAGGAGGTGATGGGCACTGGTGGTTGTCAGGCCTGTTGACACCCTCTGTCAACTTTGCAGAGGTGCCCCTTCCATTGTGCCCAGCGTGATGCTCTCCGTGTTCTGCATCAGACTCAGAATGTGATTTTCCCTATCTTGTGTGTGGAGAAGAGCTGACAACTAGATCATCAAAGTTTAATAGACGAGTACCCCAGGTTCTCTTTTCTCTGTGTAGGTAAAGGAAGAATTTGAATACAAATGTAACTTTTCCCCTAACTTCTTAGAAGTGGATTTTCTGCCAGGATAGGTTTAGTGAGTCTATGCTCTATTTCTTGATGTGGCAGAATGCCAGGCAAATGTGTGAAGGAGTGAGGCTTAGGACGACCATATGGAATCTACAAAGACCTGCGTTGCTGGCTGCCACCTTGAAACACTTAAAGATAAATGGGTTTTTTAAACCTAAGGGTGTTCTTGGTTTTATAAAAATCTCATTAAAAACCTACATAAAGTAGAGCTTGATATCTCTAGGATAGTGAGGTAAAACATCCTCTAGGAAAAATTCTTTGAGCCTAAAGGTGCATGATTTGACAGTTCTCAGAAAATTTTGTCTTGCGGCAAAACTCTTTGAGGGTTCTGTTTATTTTCAGCCATGCATATTTTCTGATTTACTGCTCTTTGCCTTTTTTTTTTGTTTTCTTTTTTTTTTCAGTTTGCCTTTGTAATTGTGACCAGGGTCTCTGCTCTCCCGCCCCACTTCCTCGGATACTTATAAATTGTAGAATGTAGTACACATGCAGAAAGTGCTTGAGAATGTTTGTTTTTCTTCTTCCTCATCAAAATTTTTGTTTCAGGTTCTTCTGCAGCTTGGGCTGTGACTGCCAATGCCAGATGGCACCGTTTCTGAGAAAAGAGCTAGCTTTTGCTTAGAAGTAATACCCACAAACAATGCCAAATTAGCATAAGCAAATGTCAGTGAGTTAACACAAAGCCCACACTCTTTCTATCTTTTCTTCCCTTCCTAGGCCATGGGTGTTGAGAGTGACCAGGAAATTGTGCAGATGATCGGAACAGAGGAGCACGTGATGGCTGCGTTTGGGCCCAGTCTGGAAGAGTGCCAGAAAGCTCAGATTTTCACACAGATGCAGGTGTGTCTTTTCACGTTGTCCTTCACTACGAAAGGGAGTTAATTGGAGATTTAATGCTGCTCGTCGCTAAAGCATCAAATGCAGTGACTTTTGCGGGTAGAGATTTGGGGTGGATGTTGGGGAGATGGGAGTACTGGTCAAGGAGCTTCTTTGGCTCATTATTTGAGGGATTGGAGGAGTCTGCCTAGATCAATTATCGGCTTTGGTGTCCAACTTAGAAGCGGAGGGACCAAGAGGCTTTTGTTCTAATGTAATAAATAGCAAATACTCTTCTTTTCTGTATTTGCCTGGTGACACAATTTTTTAAATTATAGCACCTTTAGTGTAGAAAGCTTTTTTTTTTTTTTTTTTACATCTTTCTCTTTAATATTCCTTTTTATTACCTGCTTCCAGTTGCTTTCAGCATCCAGTCGTATGTGGTCTCTATCCCTTTTGCTGAATTTTCAATGTTTCCAGCAAAAAAGACCTAGGCTCAGCATCCCTTTGCCTCTGCAGAGCCTTCATTGACCTGCCTGAGGCACTCCCAGCTGGAACCTGTGGATTTTAGGACCAGACTCAAAGATGAAGATAGGGAACTGTATATATGCTTTGTTGTTTAGTCACTAAGTCCTGTCCGACTCTGCGACCCCATGGGCAGTAGCCTCCAGGCTCCTCTGTCAGTGGGATTTCCCAGGCAAGAATACTGGATTGGGTTGCCATTTCCTTCTCCAGGGGATCTTCCTGAACCAGGGATCGAACCCACATCTTCTTCTTGGCAGGTGAATTCTTTATGAATGAGCCACCTGGGAAGCCCCTTTAAATATGCTAAACATAATCAAAATTATTAGACTTTCCTCCGCATGTGACCGGTAGCCCTCATAGCCATACCCAGGATTTTTAGTTACATATTTGTAAGGTGCTTTGCTAAGAGTAAATCAGTAGTGACCTTCCTCATAGCCGTACTAGTAGGTAGGATTTCTCTACTATAGAGAAGCACAATGGACAGTTCTTATTTATCCATGTATACATTGTCTATTCTGTTGGGTTGCTTAAATAAGGTATAAATCCCATGCTGCTTTTTTTTTGTCACCCAGCATGTTATTAGAGATAGCATTTTCCTTATATCTGTTAGTATGTGTTCTGAAAAATGAAATGAGTCTTGAAAATTTCATAGACTAAACCAAACATTTAGAAAGATTGATTGTCATATGTAAGTACACATAAATTCCAAAGCAGAAAGTAGTAAGAATTATTCTTACCACTGCCTTCTTCTTTTTCTGTAGTTAATTAACCAGTGAACTCTAGTTAACCAGGCAGGCAGCATCAGGAGAAGTTGTTTCAATTTCAGTTCTGTTCAGTCACTCAGTCGTGTCCGACTCTTTGTGACCCCATGGACTGCAGCACACCAGGCCTCCCTGTCCATCACCAGTTCCCAGAGTTTACTCAAACTCATGTCCATTGAGTCGGTGATGCTATCCAATCATTTCATCCTCTGTCGTCCCCTTCTCCTCCTGCCTTCAGTCTTTCCCAGCATCAGGGTCTTCTCAGGTAAGTCACTTCTTCACATCAGGCAGCCAAAGTATTGGAGTTTCAGCTTCAGCATCAGTGCTTCCAATGAATATTCAGGACTGATTGCCTTTAGGATGGACTGGTTGGATCTCCTTGCTCTCCAAGGGATTCTCAAGAATCTTCTCCAACACCACAGTTCAAAAGCATCAATTATTCTGCCCTCAGCTTTCTTTATAGTCCAGCTCTCACATCCATACGTGACCACTGGGAAAACCATAACCTTGACCAGACGGACCTTGGTTGGCAGTGTCTCTGCTTTTTAATATGCTGTCTAGGTTTGTCATAATTTTTCTTCCAAGGAGCAAGTGTCTTAATTTCATGGCTGCAGTCACCATCAGCAGTGATTTTGGAGCCCAAGAAAAGAAAGTCTGTCATTGTTTCCATTGCTTCCCCATCTATTTGCCATGAAGTGATGGGACCAGATGCCATAATCTTAGTTTTCTGAATGTTGAATTTTAAGCTAACCTTTTCACTTTCCTCTTTCACTTTCATCAAGAAGCTCTTTAGTTCTTCTTCACTTTCTGCCGTAAGCGTGGTATCATTTGCATATCTGAGGTTATTGATATTTCTCCTGGCAATTTTAATTCCAGCTTGTGCTTCATCCACTCAGCGTTTCTCATGATGTACTCTGCATAGAAATTAAATAAGCAGGGTGACAACATACAGCCTTGATGTACTCTTTTCCCTATTTAGAACCAGTCTTTTGTTCCATGTCCAGTTCTAACTGTTGATTCTTGACCTGCATACAGATTTCTTAGGAGGCAGATTAAGTGGTCAGGTATTCCCATATCTTGAATAATTTTCCACAGTTTATTGTGATCCACACAGTTAAAGGCTTTGGCATAGTCAATAGAGCAGAAGTAGATATTTTTCTGGAACTCTCTTGCTTTTTGGATGAGCCAACAGATGTTGGCAATTTGATCTCTGGTTCTTCTGCCTTTTCTAAATCCAGCTTGAACATCTGGAACTTTACGGTTCACGTACTGTTGAAGCCTGGCTTGGAGAACTTGGAGCATTACTTCACTAGCGTGTGAGATGAGTGCAATTGTGCAACAGTTTGAGCATTCTTGGGCATTGCCTTTCTTTGGGATTGAAATGAAAACTGACCTTTTCCAGTCCTGGAGCCACTGCTGAGTTTTCCAAATTTGCTGGCATATTGAGTGCAGCACTTTCACAGCATCATCTTTTAGGATTTGAAGTAGCTCAACTGGAGCTACCTCCACTAGCTTTGTTCATAGTGATGTTTTCTAAGGCCCACTTGACTTCACATTCCAGGATGTCTAGCTCTAGGTGAGTGATCACACCATTGTGATTATCTGGGTCATGAAGATCTTTTTTGTATAGTTCTTCTGTGTATTCTTGCCACCTCTTCTTAATATCTTCTGCTTCTGTTAGGTCCATACCATTTCTGTCCTTTATTGAGCCCATCTTTGCATGAAAAGTTCCCTTTCTATCTCTGATTTTCTTGAAGAGATCTCTAGTCTTTCCCGTTCTATTGTTTTGCTCCATTTCTTCGCACTGATCACTGAGGAAGGCTTTCTTATCTCCTTGCTATTCTGGTAACTCTGCATTCAAATGGGTATATCTTCCTTTTTTCCTTTGCCTTTCACTTCTCTTGTCATAGCTGTTTGTAAGGCCTCCTCAGACAACCATTTTGCCTTTTTGCATTTCTTTTTCTTGCGGATGGTCTTGATTCCTGTCTCCTATACAGTATCAGGAACCTCCATCCATAGTTCTTCAGGCACTCTGTCTATCAGGTCTAATCCCTTGAATCTATTTCTCACTTCCACTATATAATCATAAGGGATTTGATTTAGGTCATACCTGAATGGTCTAGTGGTTTTCCCTACTTGCTTCAATTTAAGTGTGAATTTGGCAATGAAGATTTCATGATCTGAGCCACAGTCAGCTTCTGGTCTTGTTTTTGCTGACTATATAGAGCTTCTTCATCTTTGGCTGCAAAGAATATAATTAATCTGATTTTGGTGGTGATCATCTGGTGATGTCCATGTGTAGAGTCTTCTCTTGTGTTGTTGGAAGAGGGTGTTTGCTATGACCAGTGCGTTCTCTTGGCAAAACTCTGTTAGCCTTTGCCCTGTTCTATCTTTGGTCTTCATTGAAAGTGAACTATTTGATGAACATGCATCTTCGTTATAAACTGCAATTACCTTGTAATTACATGAAGAGAAAACGTTAAATACTTAGGAATTAGGTACATTTGGGGAGATACACTCTATGCTTTAAAGCTGTGTTATGCCTGGATGAACAATTTACCTTAATGGTAACCCAGTGGATTCAGTGAGATCCAGTATTCATCTTATTGCAAGCATCATCATTGCTGGTCAGATAAATCAATCATTGTAAAGCTGTTTGAACAGTAGTTAAACAGTGGGTTGGAAGATCATTCATTTATTTCTCTTAAATAGGTACTGACAGAAAATAATGGCTAACTAAAAGTTTCTAAAGTGAATTGGAGAAGTTCTTTTAAAAGATGAGAATATGTGATTATCTAAGAAAGACAAACATCTCGCGGAAGACAAACAGGAAATAGGAGTTTGAGATGGCTTGTTCCCTGTGTGCTGGATGAAAGCAAATATTAATTATTTGCAGCTGATAAAAGGTTACAGAGGCACAGCTAGTCCAAAATGGTTGATGACTTGAACATATGAGTTAGGGCAACACAAAATATTTTATGTTATTCTAAATAAAAATGTATTATCTTACATAATAGAACTTTTGACATGGCACTTCAGTAGATCGTTTAAAATACATGTTTTGTTTTGTTTTGAATGCCTCCCTTCTTAGTGACTCCTCCATTTATTCTGCTCATAAAGCCCTTTTGCTGCTACATTTGTCACAGATGTTTTACATTATCATTGCCAGGGGCTCTGAGAAATGGAGAAGAAATTAGTCACTACCTTTTTGGAAGGAGAGGCTACCCCAGGGGTGGCATCTTGGCCTGTTTATGAAGCCAGCTGGGCTCTTACCCCAGCCCTGACACTGCAGCCCCGGCAACTTTATCAGCCACTCTAGGGAAATGTGACTTTCTGCTGCATCAGAAGGCACCCCTGTATTCCTGTTTCTTCCTCAAGGAAATGAAAAACCTATAGCCTCTTTCCCAAAGGAATTGAAAGACCAAAGTTTAATAAAGACAGCTCGGTTTAGGGAAAACTGAAGTGCCTGTCTGTTCCTGGTTCCCACCATCTGCTGACTTGCCTCAATCAGTACTTAGTTACTACTCCTTGCTTTGTTACTGCAGCTTGTGTTTTAAAGGTCTTGGTTTGTCTTACCCTCTGATGGCCTTTTTTTTTTTTTTTTAAACCAGGAAGGTTCTAGATTTGATCTGCAGTCTTAACAGAGATGTTCCATTCAGTTTCAGGGACTATTTTAGTCAGGAATTAAAAAAAAAAAAAAAAAAGATGACAAAATGTCTAGTAAGAGAGACATACAGGTAAGTAGGCGAATACAGTGTGATATAAACACAAATGGAAGTACTCAGTTCTTTATATGTAAGGAATTAAACAGCAGAGAGAAAGAAGTGGGGTTAGGAAAGGCTTCAAAGAGGAAGTGGTACCTGATCTAGGTTTTGAAGCCTGGAAAAGAAATTTTTCCAGGCAGGAAACTGGCAGCAGGAATTCCAGGATAAAGAATCAGGGATCCCAGTCCTTTCTTATGACTAAATGGAAACCAGTGTTTTGGTTTTTTTTTTTTTTAATGCATTTATTCCTCTTACAAAATAATAAGAACCACATGATCTTTTCAAACTTTTTTTATGGAAAAACTTCAAAATATAAAAAGTATACAGAATAGTATTATGAACCCCCATGTGCCTGTCACCCAGCTTCAACATGAAAACACTTTGCCAGGGACTTCCCTGGTCGGCCAGTGGCTGAGACTTCATGCTCCCAGTGCAGGAGACCTGGGTTTAATCCCTGTCCAGGAAGCTTGATCCTGCACGTCACAGCAAAGATGGAAGATTCCGTGTGCTGCAACTGAGACCTGGTGGAGCTAAATAAATAAATATTAAAAACAGAAAAACTTTGCTATTCTTGTTTCATCTAAAGCTCTATCTCTGCCTCACCTATTACTTGGTTAGGTTTTTTAAATTTATTTTTATTTATTTATTTAAATTGGGGGGAAAATTGCTTTACAGTTTTGTGTTGGTTCCTGCTGAGCGGCAACACAAATCAGTCATATGATTAGTTTTTAACATTTCACTTTTTAAGGTAAAGTGTATATACACATAATATACAAGTCTTAATTGTATACTTTTTATAAGATACACAATATTTCCATGACCCCTGAAAATTCCCTTATGCTTCTTCTAATCAGTTTTCACCTCCATTCCCATTTTTCCCCACTTTTCTTATTTTTTTCACCATAGATTAGTTTGCCTATTCTAGAACTTTATATAAGGAATTATGCAGTATATACTTACTGTTTTGTCAGCTTCTTTTGTTGAACGTATCGACTTAGATTCATCCAGGTTTTTCCTCATTATGTCGTGTATCCATGTTCTTCATTCCTTTTAATTGTTGAGTAATGTTCCATTGTATGAATATACCACAGTTTGTTATCTTTTCCTGTTGATGGACATTTGGTTTATTTCACTCTTTGGCTGTTGTGAATGAAACTACCATAAACATTCCTGTCCAAGTCTCTGCCTAACAGTTTGGCATTTCTCGTGGATAAATACCTGAGAATAGAATTGCTGGATCAAAATGCAGTTGTGTGGAATGTTACTCAGCCATTAAAAAGAATGAAATAATGCCCTTTGCAGCAACATGGATGGGCCTAGAGACTGTCATACTGACTGAAGTAAGTCAGACAGAGAAGGAGAAATATTCTATGGCATCCGTATATGTGGAGTCTAAAAAGGAATGAAAGATCCAAGTGAACTTACTTATGAAACAAAGACTCACAGACTTAGAGAACAAACTTACAGTTGCTGATGGGGAGAAGGATCGGGGAAGAGATAGTTAGGGAGTTTGGGATTGACATGTACACACCGCTATATTTAAAATGGATAACCAGCAAGGTCCTACTGTATAGTATGTGGAACTCTGCTCAATATTATGTTGCAGTCTGGTTGGGAGGGGAGTTTGGGGGAGAATGTATATGTATGGCTGTGTCTGTTTACTCTTCACCTGAAACTATCCCAACAAGTGTTAATTGGCTAAACCCCCCCCCCCCCCAAAAAAAAAGAAAAATCAGTTGTGTATGTAACCTTCATAAAGTCAGAGCTGCCGGGGTGACGGTACCATTCTGCAGTCCCTTCAGCCGCGCCTGAGAGTTCCGGTTGCTTCACATCCTCACCGGCATTCACTGTTAGCCTTTGTAACTCAAGCTGTTCCAGTTTGTCCTGGTGGCGTCATTGTGACTTTAGTCGTGCATTTTCCAGATGACCACTGACATTGCCTCCTTTCTGTGTGCTCACTGACTTCCTTTATAGCTGAAATCATGTGAATCTTCTGACTGTTTCAACACTGTTTTCAGCTGTTCTAGGTCTTCTGCTTTTCCATAGAAATTTTGAAATCCAATCAGTTTGTGTTTTTTAACAAACCCGTCAGGATTAACAATAAAAATACATCTTTTGGTCAGTTTGGAGAGAATTTTAACAGCAAGCCATCTTTAAGTATATTAAATGTTCTAGTCAATGAAAATGGCATAACCCTCGATTTATGTAGGTTTTGTCTTCTCTCAGCAGCGCTTTGTAGATTTCAGGGTAGAAGTCATAGATGGTGTGAATCCTTTTTGAGGAGAGAAGATACTCCCCCTCCCCCCAAAAGAATATTCACCCAAAGTGTTAACTGTCGACAGGATTCTCTTTGGGTGGAGGATTGATGGCCAAAATACTTATCTCCTTTGTATTGTCTAAACTTACTACAATTGTCCTGTGTCAATTTTATAGTAAAAAAACAAATTATAAAAAGGGAACTATTTTGTCATTGATTTATGACAAATGTTGTTGTTTTTTTAACTAGGACCAATTCAGTTTTCTTTATAAAGGTCCTTGTCTTTTTTTCCTTATAGTGTTGTGTATGGGTAGCAACTTAATAAATTCTCTCTGATGTCATTCAAACATTATTATAATATATTCTGTTTTTTAATAGGCATTAAAATATATAGGGAACAAAGTCAGAAGGCAAAGGATGTGGGGAGGTGGCCCAAAGAAAACCAAAATAGAAGAAGCAAGAGAGCTCCTGGCTTCTACCATCCTGACCCACGTGCCAGTGAGTAAACCCTTTGCAACTGTGAATACTGAACTTTGTGCTGTCCATGAACTTCTGCTGGAGTACAGGTTTACATTAACTGAAGTCCAGTTCCCTAAGAAAAGAGAGAACCCTAAAGAGGACTCTCCGATGGACTGCCCTGGAAGTAATCTTCCATTATCAACAGTTTATTTGTACTTAGAGAATGTTAGCTATATTATGTCATCATCTGAACATGTTTGTTGTCTTGATTCTTCTTTCAATACAAAATTTTAATTTTTTCTTTGATATTCAAATATATGTTAGCACTGCTGCTAGATTTCATCTCTGAAGGTCAGAGATGGTGTCTTAGATATTTTTAAATAAATTAAAAACCAGCTTACAGTGCCTTGCCCATATGTGTAACTTTTTGAAAAATTGTGGTAAAACATACAAAAAATAAAATTTATTCTTTTTATGTGTATGTTTCTGTGGGATTATGTACATTCTCACTGTTATGTTACCATCACTACCATAGATACTTATTAAAATATTAGGTGGGCTTATGTTTAGACGTTGAGCTCACATTGTCCAGTCTTCTTCACTTAGAATATCGATGCTCAAGTCCAGAAAAGCTGGGTGATTTTTTTTGTCATCCAGCTGGTTAGAGGTCAGAGAGAGAGAGCTAGAATCCCATCTTCTGACCCTTGAACCAGTGCTTAATATTTATTTTTATTAACTTATTATTAAACAGAGTTCAACCATATTGGCAAGAGTCATTCCTCCCCTACCCTCATTTAATACATATGTACTCTTTCTAAGTTATAAAATTGTTAGTCAGCCTTATCTTGTTAACCAAATAGTCTGGTTTATGTTGACTTTTAGCATGTGTATTATTCACAAATGATCTAATTTAAGAATTGCACACTCTACTTTCAGGGGCTGATTATAAATAACGAAAAGTTGAGGGAACAGTAGAAGTGAACAGTGACCACCTAAACACATGAAGATACAGTTTTCTTATTTTGAAACACCTTGTCAGCCAAATAATGTGGGTCTATGATTTTGCCCTTTTGCTGCCATTTGTGTGTGCCCTTGATCTGATTCAGAGAATTAGGAAAGTAAAACAAATTTTATAATATGAATTATTTATAAACAAGCCTATGAAATATTCCTTAGAACTGACAGAAACTTAGACTACTCTCAGTATTCATTGTTTGGGATGTAGAGAAAGAATTTACCTACTTATCTAAATGTCTCTCCAAATAAACCAGTGCAATGGTTTAGCCAGTTTTGATTTAACTTACTGATTGGGCTAGATTCATTTATGTAGATTTCAGTTGTACAAGAGAAAATTAAATAGAACATTTGCAGCAATTTACTTATCAATCTGTTCATTTATTCCATAGATATTTGTTGAGTCCTAACAGTGTTTTAGTACCATTCTTGTTATTTATCGCTGCACAGCAAGTATTTTCAAAATGTAGTAGCTTGAGATAACTGTTTATTGCTCTCTGTCAGGATTCTCAGGTCTGAAGGGGCTCAGTGATAGGGAGGGAAGTTCTTTTTTTTGTTTTGTTTTAATATTTATTTAGCTGCATCAGGTCTTAGTTGTGGCACATGGCTCTAGAGCACACGGGCCTAGTCGTTGCAGCTCATAGGCTTAATTGCATCACGTCATGTGGGATCCTAGTTCCCTAGCCAGAGATCAAACCTGTGTCCCCTGCATTAGAAGGAGGATTCTTAACCACTGGACCACCAGGGAAGTCCCAGGAAGGAGCTTCTTGACATGAGTCTCATGAAGTTGCAGACAGATAGCCGCTGAGGGTGGAGTCATCCAAAGGTTTGACTGGGCTGAACATCAAAGCTGTGTCATCAGTCACATCTCTTACTCCTCACTGCCTTTCCAAGTGGCCCTTTTTTCCCCAACAGAGTATCCTAGACTTCTCATTTGGTATTTCAGGACTCTTAAAAGGAAAGAAGTGGAAACTGCTAGTTTACAGGCCAACCCAAAGATGGTGAAACATATGGGGAGGGAAGGAGTTGATGGTGGTCATCTTTGAAGAAAAACTGCCGCAAGTATTGAGTACAAAGATGGAAAGTCATCATCTCAGCTTTTAGAGAGTTTATAGACTGGTTGAATTTTTTGAATAAGGAGAATTGTTGCAATTCATATTTTTCTCATTTAAATATTATAGCATTGGTTATTTTCTTGAGGCACCTTAAATTTTAATGTGTAGAGTCTTAAAATTTTTTCTCTAATTTCTGAATTACAGGTTAAAGAATTCAATTTCCGAGCCAAATGTATCTATACTGCAGTGATGGTGAGAAGAGTAATTCTGGCCCAAGGAGATAATAAAGTTGATGACAGAGATTATTATGGTAACAAGAGGTTGGAGTTGGCAGGACAGGTGATTTAACTATTTTATGTCAAATCTTATTTTCCTCAATAAAAATTAATTTACTATTCATTTTAGATAGGAGGAAGAAACAGTTGAATGGAATATAGGTTTGTATATTTGGAATATAAACATTCATATGTGACTTACTACCTCTTTGACTTAAGAATTTCTTGAACTATGAAAACTCTTAGTTCTTTAAATATGTTAGTAGTGTTACCTATATTATATCTTTTTTGAGATGTTTATATTCTCTCATTGTGTTTAATAATAGAAAGTGATGTATGATATTAAGTAGTATCATTTATTCAGTTAACAGATGTCTATTAAACTTCTACCATGTGCCAGGCATAGTTATAGAAACTGGGGATAGAGGAAAAATAAGATAGACAAAGGTCCCTTTTCTATCTTGTGGCTTAAAAGAAGTGCCTTGATGTGGTGGTCTCTGTTAATGTCCTACTTAGAATTCGCTAAATTCTTCAGTCTGTAAATTTATGTCTAACTAAATTTGAGACATTTTTAGAACCTATTTCTTCAAATATCTTTTTTATATTATTCTCTCTTGTCCTTCTAACTCAAATTATCTTGTTTGACCCTTTAATATTGAGGCTCTGTTAATTTTTTTTTCCCCAGGTTAGCTCTCTTCTTCAGGTTGCATAATTTCTACTGATCTATTTTCAAGTTCCCTAATTTTTCTTATGTTTCTCTAACATGCTTATTACACTGATCCAATTAATTTTTTAGTTTAGATGTTGTGTTTTCAGTTCTAGAAATTTCATTCTGGTACTTTTAGCTTCTGTTTCTCTACTGAGATTTCTTACTTGTTTATTCATCACAACCGTGTTTGCATTTACATCCTTGAACCTTAACAGCTGTTTTAGAATTGTGGTCTCATTCCAACGACTCAATCATCTTAGGGTCAGTCTCTTGATTAAATCAGTTGCTTGATTAAATATCTCTTTCAAAAAGTGATAAATATTTTAAGCTGAGCCCTCAGACATTCCAGCTGAGACTTGAGAGGAGAATCCAGTCTCATACAGCCTCTGGAACTGCATTCTATTAGGAGACCCACACGAGCAACATACGTCTTCAGGCAGTGCCCTTATTGGAGGAACTGGAAGAGGACCAGTATTTCTGGAGTGTGAGGTGTGGGGGTGGTGAGAGAGAACATTGGAGAACTAGCATCGTATGCCATGGGAAGGGGTTTGGATTTAATTGCTCCTGCAGTAGAGAATCACAAGAGTTGTAATCAAAGAAGTGACACCATCAATTTCAGTTTAAAAGGTCTTATTTGGAGATGAACCTGCAAAGAAAGTTCAGTTAGGAGACTGTGGCAGTATTCCAGATGAGTGATGGTGGCTGCGATCATAACAGCAGATATTAATTACCACGTCTAAAATGTAAAAAACTGGAATTATAATCGTATCAGTTTTTTCTGAGAAAAAATTAATGCCTGGAATACTTGGGAAGTTGTTTGGTCAATGGCTGAGGCTAACTGGTGGGCTTTGGGTCACCTTCAGATTGACCACAGTTCAGGGGATTGATTGTGTGTAACCCTACCACCAACAATCCCAATTTTTTACAGATCTTTATAATTGGAAAAGAAATCTTAATGTTCAAATAGTCCTTTAAAAAAAAGTGTTGCTTGTTTGGAGGACTAAGGAATGGGGTCAGGAGGGGAGAGGAAAAGACTATCCTGTTGCTTAAAAAATTAGAATTAAAAGAGGGTTCCCATGTGCAAGAAAACATTGCTTTATAAACAGTGTAAGAACATAGAAGGGATTGTGTTGGCAAAAATTTGTAAAAACAATAGCTGCTAATTTCACACCCCGTGGGATGAGGGAGTATGAATGTGCTTCAGCGTTAGATAACAGAGCTGTATCCGCTGGCCAGGCGGGTTCACAGAACCTTCCCTCAGTCTCACTGCCCCCGGAGGGCTGGCCGGCTGGCCGCCAATAGGGGTGTTAGCAAAACCTACCGGTTTCAGGCTTAATCTTTGCACCTACCTTTTCTCTTTCGGTAATGTGTTCATTATTTGCCGAGCATTACTCTATTCTTTGTCTGCAGATTTTTTTGTTTCTAATGCAGCTTGCTTTGTATGGGTGAGATATGGAACGGCACCAAAATCCGGCACCCTGGAAAGCCAGGGATTTCCACCCGGTGACAAAAGAATGCCGTCTTGACTTCAGAGATTGCCTAATCCCAGCTGTTCTGATAATGTAATTAAGGCTGCCTAATGTCTTTAATTTTGCAACCAGTTTGTGTGAAAAGGAGAATTTGGCACTCTGAAGGCTTAAACACTAAATAGCAATCTCAAGACGCCTAATTAGAATTCTCTGACATTAAGCTAATTGGTGAAACTGTATTTCAGCAGCTTAACTTCTTTATTAATTTTTTTTTAGCATTTTCATTGAAAATCAATTGATGAGCTGTCAGCATTTTTTCTTAAATATAATTTGCCCTTTAGTGCTCCTGTCTTAGGCAGGCTGAAAGGCCTCATGCCAACAGTGAGAGGTATTGAATATTATAATATCACCAACATTCCATCCCTTTTCATCATTTTACTCTTGACCTAAATAATGTGGCTTCTTGTGGGAATAGGCCTTGTAGCTTCTTACTGCTCCGTGAACTGGAGAACGTTATTTCTCTTATGAGGAAATTTGAAGGGTGGAGAAATTTATTAATGAGGCCGTAGTTTTGTTGAGTGTGCTCTTACTCTTTACTTGTTTAGTACTGGAGCATTTCCTTGTGCTTGAATCAGGGGGCTACAACAAATTCATCTGGGATCCCCAGAAAAACTTTGTTGCAATTTGAGACACAAAAGTCTTAAGTGTAAGGGACTAATTAAAACAGAGCGGAACTTTTGTGGTTAAAGGTTAAGGGCATTTGCTTCTGTTCAGGATACTTATTCAAGTCCCTTTGCCAGTTTCTACAGGAAGTTGCTGAAATGGGCTTGTCCATCCCTCTCTTCCCCTGCACCTGCTTCCATTCCCATATTCTTTTTCATGAAGGAAACTGCTGGGTCTGAGTGGAAGAAAAGATTAAGCTCTCAGAGGAGGAAGTTTTCTTTTTAGAACACTTCAGACATGGCAAATCAAGGACCCTGGCTTTCCCATCTGCAAAGTTGATTTTGTAGAAAAGTAGAAGGATGTGTCTATCTTAAGGGAAAAGAGTGTAAAATCACGTTCTACCTAGGAAATGCTTTCTTCAACAGTGGCTGGAAGAGAAGACTCATTGGCTTTCATGTCTTCTAAATTATGAATCAAAAAACTACCTGTGGGTTGTAAACATTCAAAAATATAGTGTGGAATTTGGAAAATCTTTAGCTTACAAGATTTCCGTGAACTTCAGAATTCCTGAATTATATAAGGAATGTATATATAATGTCCTCCAATACTACGTTACTATTGTGCTAGTTAGCTTAGATTACGTATATATCCAACTGTTTTCTTCCTCTATAAAGGAATAAAAAACAAATGCAGTTGATTTTTCAGGGGAATTTAAGTAGTTGTAATTTTATATTTGATTATTGAAGAAGTATGCCTGTTATTTTTTGTGAACTGTCTGTAAGTGGTGTTCTGGTTTTGTCTGTTGCTACATATCTATTGCAAAACTTAAGCCAACCACCATTGTCTTAAGTGGCTTAAGACAGCCACCATTTTGTTCTATCTCACGATTTTGTGGGTCAGGAATTCAGGCAAGATCCAGCTGTGTAACTCCTCTGTATCACATGGAGCTCAGTTGGTTCTGCCGGAGGTGGTGGGATGCCTGGAAGGCTGGGCTCAGCTCCGTCTTGACCATGCCAGCACTGTGACATCAGAGTGGCTCAGGACTCAAGTGAGTTTCCCATGCACCGGAGAATCTGCGTGACCTTAATGAGTTCGTCTTAGAAGTCACATCTTCACTAACTTTATTGAAGAAAAGCAGTCACAGCCCTTGCCTGAATTGGGGCAGTAGGAGACATAGTAAGCAGAGATTTGGGCAGTTTATCTACATAATCTTGGGGTTTTCTCCCAAGATTAAGTGGGTAGTGGATTTGAGGACGTAAGTTTTATTTGTGGTTGTCTCCTTTCTGTGACTTTCCCCTCACCTTCCAGCTGCTGTGGTGCCTGGTATCTTATCCCTCTGATCCTTCAACCCAGTAAGACTGTGGGTCTTTCTCTGAGTTTTAGCTTCTGATGTCACCTGGCCCTGTTTGCTAATGTGTTCTACCCTTAGTTGAAAAGCCTTCAAAATGGAAATGCACTTTTTTTTTTGGAAATGCACTTTTGATCACTATCATGTTTTCAGCAGTTTCTGTCTGCATTTACTCTCCAGTGCTGTCAAATAGTTTTAATATTTTGTCCAGAGTTTATAATTTTTATCAGCAAATGAGTCTGATAGGAGCTACTCCCATCAATTCTGAAAGAGCCATTCTAGTCTATTTTTATGACTTGCTGTTCCCCATCCCATTGATTTGTTTTCCATGGTTAACATGGCTTAATGTCATTTATTTTCTAATTTTTAACATTAAAAGTAAAAATGTCACATATAAGTTATGAAGGTGACAAATTAAATCAGCACCTCAAATCCACTACCAGCTTAAGTAATTCTTAATTGACCACTAATTGCCATTTCATTTACTTATATATTTTTTTCCTTACTCTGTCCTTCTCTTTCTCCTACTATCCTGAATTTGTGTACTTATTGTTTTCTTTTTTATTGTATCATTTATTTAAAAGTTTTAAAATACTTTATTACAGTATAAGTTTTGCTTTTTTTTACTGAAGTATAGTTTATTTAGTGTTGTGTTTAAGATGTACAGCAAAGTGATTCAGTTATGTGTGTGTGTGTGTATACTATATTTGTATTCCTTTTCAGATTATTTTCCATTTTAGGTTATTACAAGATACCAATAATCCCCTGTGCCATACAGCAGGCCCTTGTTGCTTATCTGCTTTATATATTGAGCATGGGTCTGTTCACCCTAACTCCTAATGTATCCTCTCCCCAGCCTTTCCTTTTTGGTGACCATAAGTTTGTTTTCTGCATCTGTGACTATATTTCTGTTTTGTAAATAGGTTCATTTGTACCATTATTTTAGATTCCACGTGTGTCAAACTGAGTGAAGAAAGTCAGGCAGAGAAAAACAACTATCATATGATATCACTTATATGTAGAATGTTTTCATTCTTTTACATGTAACTGTCCTGTTTTCCCAGCACAACTTATTGAAAGACTGTGTTTTCTCCATTGTGTGTTCTTAAATATGTTTGGCTGCACTGCATGATATGTGGGATCTTAGTTCCCCCACTAGGGATCAGACTCACACCCCTTGCACTGGAAGTCTGGAATCATAACCACTGGCCTGCCAGGGAAGTTCACCTATTCTTTATTCTTGCTTCCTTTGTCATAAATTAATTGACCATAAGTGTGTGGGTTTATTTCTGGGCTTTCTGTCCTATTCCAATGATCTCTGTTTTTTATGCTAGTGCCATACTGTTTTGATTATTTTAGCTTTGTAGTATAGTCTGAATTCAGGGCATCTGATTCCCTGAAGAAGCTCTGTTCTTCTTTCTCAACACTGTTTTTTATTAAAACAGTTCAATAGTTTCTCTTTTTAAATGTGGTGATTTAGTCACTAAGTTGTGTCTGACTGTTGTGACCCCATGGACTGTAGCCTGCCAGGTTCCTCTGTCCATGGGATTCTCCAGGCAAGAATACTGGAGTAAATAATTGAAAAAAAAAAAAAAAAGAATACTGGAGTAGGTTGCCATTTCCTTCTCATTGGGATCTTCCCAACCCAGGAATTGAACCTGGGTCTCTTCCATTGCAGGCAGATGCTTTACTGACTGGGCTACAAGGGAAGCACCATATTTTTTAAATAAAGATTTCTTTAAAATTTTTATTTTTTAGTTTTGGCTGCACTGGGTCTCTGTTGCTGCAGACAGTCTTTCTCTAGTGGTGGTGAGTAGGGCAGCTCTCTGGTTGCAGCGCGTGGGCTTCTCATTGTGGTGGTTTCTCTTGTTGTGGAGCCCAGAGTCTAGATGTGTGGGCTTAGTTGCTCCTCGGCATGTGGGATCTTCTGGACCAGGGATTGAACCCATGCTCCCTGCATTCTCAAGTGAACTCTCAACCTCTGGACCACCAGGGAAGTTCCCTTAGGATTGTTTTGGCTATTTGGGGTCTTGTTTCCAAACGAGTTTTAAAATGACTGGTTCTAGGTCTCTGAAAATTGCCATTGGTAATTTGATAGGGATTGCATTGAATCTATAGTTTGCCTTGGGTAGTATGGTCGTTTTAATAGTATTGATTCTTCCAGTCTAAGAGCTCAGTATTGTTTTTGTATGTTTGAGTTTTATAAGAACAGATTCATATCATATATATTCTCTTGCAACTTTTTTCTTCACTTAACATTGTTTTAAAGATTCATCTATATCGTTTCATGTCACTGTATTTCACCTTCACATTCAATGTGTAAAGATATGATACATATGATAAATATCCCTTTATCCATCCTACTTATCAAGGCCATTGTATGACTTCTCTTTTTTAAAAAAATTAAACTTCTTATTCATATCTTCTCGTGCCCATATGAAAGAGTTTCTGCAAATAGGATTGTCCAGTCGTGGAATCAAGTTAAATCTTCAGCTTGACTGGAGAGTGTCAAACTAGTTTCCCAAGTATTTTTGTACATTGCATTGTATGTAAGACCTGATGGTCTCTATCCCGTGACTTAGTGTGAAAATTGAAAAATTTTTGTCTTGTCTAGGGGGTACAAGGTTTCTGTCTCCTCGTGGGCTTAATTTGCATTTCCCTCATTGCTAATGAAGTTGAGTCTCTTTATGTTTCATATACTTATTGATCATTTCTACTTTTTTCTTAAATATCTTTTGGGTTGTTTGTATTTTCCTTATTAATTTTAAGATTTTTGGGGTATACTTTGGATCTAATTTTTTATCAGTTACATGTGTTGCTGGTATCTTCTTCCAGTCTGATTTTTTTTTTTTTTATTATGGGATCTTTTAGTTACAGAAGTTTGTAATTTTAATTGTATTCAATTTTGTCAGTCCTTTCTTCTTTTCAGTTGTACTTCTTATACTTTAAACTTATGTCTTTGTTATTTGTTCTTTAGTCTATCTGGAATGGATTTTTGTGTGTAGAGTGAAGTAAGGAAAGGAGTTTCATTTGTTTTTGAAATGAATAACTGATTTTCCTAGCATCATTTATTTGTAGTCTTTAATTTCCTTACAGATCTAAAATGCTAAATGCTAAAATGTTTTTACCATAGAACAGATTTTAATATATGTGTTGTTTATTTCTGGACTTTTTGTTCTCTTCATTGGTAAGTTTATCTATACATTAATCAGTTCATTTGCCTTCATTTTCAGGACTATCTGTCTGCTCTAGAGTCTTAGCTTTTCCACATTAATTTTAGAGTTAGCCTCCATTTTCATTAAAAACCTGGGGATTTTGATTAGAGTTGCATTGGAATTGTAGATCAATTTGGGGAAAACTAGTAATCTTAAAATAGTCTTCTCATCCATGAGTGTTTTCTTCATTTATTTAGGTTTTCTTTGATGTCTTTCAGTAAAGATTTGTAATTTTCTCCATGAAAGCCTTGCACCTCTTTTGTTAGGCTTACTGCTTAGTATGTTAAGGGTTTATTTTGGTAGATATTTATAATATAAATATTAATAAGAAAAACCTCAAACCTATATAAAAATTAGCTTCCATGTTTTAATCACACAACTTTGGCTATCATCAATAGAAGTTAATCTGGTTTTATCTATGTCCTCTTCAACTCTTTTCCTACTCCCCCCATTCCACAAATTCAGTTGTTTAAATAAATCCAAACCATCAAATCATTTCAACATTTCAAATAATCAAATCACATTCTGTAAGTACTTAAAAATGTGTCTCTAAAAGATACAATTTTTAAAAATCATAACATCATTTTCACATAAAATTTTTAAAGAGTAATTGCTTAATGTCATTAAGCATCAATATCATCACTCATCAAATTTGAACATTATGTATTCAGATTTCCCTGATTTCTTTATATTGTTGTTTAAAGTAGGGTTATTCCAATAGAATCCAAACATGTTTCGCATATTGCATTCAGTTGATGTCTCTTAAATTCCTTTTGATCCATATGTATTCTGTGTGTGTCTGTCTGTCTTTGAAAAAACTGGACCTTTTTGGTTTTGCTTCTGCCCTTCTCTCAGTGTAAGTTACCTTTGCCTGGGATCCTCGGCAGAAGGTTTTCCTGCTTTTTCTTCTCATGTAAGAGGAAGTCCAGGGAAATAGGTAGAGTTTTGCTGCTTGTTGCAACAAACGGGTCGTTCTCAGGTCTCCTTTGTCCTTCCAGTCTTTCCTGAGCACTCGTGGAATGAGCTTCTAAGTGTGGATCCTCTCGTATCTGGATCTCTGAAGAATTCTCAGCTTTTGTGATCGCTCACATTTGGCATTTTAGCAGCCCTTAAAATTTTAGCTGATTTCTTCTTTATGGCACACCTCCGCTCTGTCGTGCTTCCCGTCTCTCCTTGGAGAGGCTTGACACCTTTGCAGTTTAGTTCCCCTGGTTGCCTTACAACTTACCTCTTTGTTAGAATCAAGAAATTTTATGATTTTGTGGATGATTCATCTTTTTAAAAAAAGATTATCAGGGTGGGAAGGATGTTGTCTTATGGCTTTCTACATTCCAGGTGGAAGCAGAACTTGCAAAATCTCTGAAGCTTTCTGCTTCCCCTCCAAGGTGTAGTCTCCAACCTGATTTTTATGGTGTTTGTATCTTGCCTTTTCATTTTGCCTACTAGTTATCCTTCCTAAACAATATAGCTGATTATTGTGCTGGGTTTTGAACCCTATATAGAGTCACATCACATATATTCTTTTGGGTCTGACTTCTTTCACTCAATATTATATTTTTAAGATTTAGCCATGATTTTGTGGCCAGTTATTTTTTTGTCCATTTTCAGTGCTCTGTAGTATTCTGTTATTTGAATATACTGCAGTTTGTCTAACTAAATAGTATTTATATGGTGTCCAGTTTTTAACTGATACAAATAGTGCTGCTTTGAACATCTTGTATATCTACCATGATGCACGTAAAGACATTTCTGTAGGGTAGTGATTCTCAAGGGTACCCTTCCCCTACCAGCAACAGTGGCGTTCCTAGGAACTTGTTAGAAATGAAAATTCTTGGGCTCTACCGTAGACTTATGGAATCAGATACCAGAGGGGTATGGCCAGCAATTTGTGTTTTAATAATCCCTCAGTGTGATTACATGCAGGTTAAAGTTTGAGAACCATGGCTATAGAGGATGTACTTATGAGAGGAACTTTGGGGCCTAGGGATGGGCAGAAAACTACAAACTGATTGTTAGTGGTTATACCAGTTCACATTTTTACCAGTGATGCAGGAAGGTTCAAATGGCACCCATCCTTGGTGCTGTCAGAATTTTTAACATTAAGTCTTCTCCGCTGATCTTTTGTGGGTTTCAGTAGTCTTTATTTATAAAGTTAAAAATTAGATCAGTAGAAACTTAGTCTGGGAGTGGCTAGTTAAATGTCTTTGAATGCAGGGATTATGTCATCGTCTTCGCTCGTATTCTCAACATCAAGCATAGTGATAAGCACATATATAAGAATGTGTTTATCATGTTGAATTTTTAAAATGTGTTTTTCCCAGTATTAAGCAGTTTTTCCATCAGTTTTTTTAAACAAAGTTTAATAAAGACCTAAAATTTAGTAAATAAGCTAGTGATGCATTTTGAAAGTTCACCATATACTTTTTTTTTCTTTAGCTTTTATCTCTTCTTTTTGAAGATTTGTTCAAAAAATTTAATTCTGAAATGAAGAAGATTGCAGATCAGGTGATTCCTAAGCAAAGAGCAGCCCAGTTTGATGTTGTGAAACACATGCGCCAGGACCAGATTACCAATGGCATGGTGAATGCCATTTCAACCGTAAGTCTCTGATCCCTCGGGTGGAGTTTTGTAACTTACTTGTACATCTGTTCAGTGGGAAATTTAAAGTATTTGGAGAATGTAGGTGGGAAAAAAAAAAAAAAATATATATATATATATATATATGTATTTATTTGAGGATGCTACAAGTCACAAATTTTCTTCTTTGAAATAGTCTGCAGTTGAAATCAATAGAAATTTTGCTGCTATATGACTGTATTGCCAAATTATAGTTCCTGTTACAATTTACTGAGGCAATAAGGAAATAGATACACTCTTCCATAGAGGAAAAAATCTTTTAGTTTAACCCTTAATAACCATTCTTTCAATGGATACTTTCCCCCATTTTTTTCTGTGATAAAGCTGACATATTGCAAGTAGGTTTACTAATGACAACTTTTGTCTGAAGCAGTGTAAAATGTTTCATTGCATTGTCGGTTCATAGTCCTCAAAGGGCGCTCAGCTGTTCTCATGTGAGCAGTGAATTCAGGCCTCGGCAGCTGCTGTGCATGCAGGGCCTCTGGCTGTCCATCACGGGTTATCAGATAGGTTTTTGCTCCCTTTCTTAAAGCGTAACATCTATAGGTCTATCTGATAAAGTCTGGTTCACGTTTTGTATGCCAGACATAAAATTAGTTTTATGGATGGGATTTGGTGCCAACAAAAGAAGAGTGTATCTGCAGCTGACTTGCCACCCTGTCTGACCTGAGAAATGTGCAGCAGGCCTGTGTGAGCAGCCCCCACCATGACGGCTCCATCCAGACTGGAGGGGGCCCGGCCCCCGTGCCTCTCTGGGCCCGTCACATTCGTGGGGCCCAAACTTGTCTGGACGTAGATTCCTGGATATTTGAAAAGAAGCCTCCAAAGAGCACTTGAACGCTCTTCTGTTAGAGTGACTTTTCCTCGCTTTCTGGCGCTCTCTTTTCCGGTCGGAATGGCTGTTGTGAGTAGTTGTATTGCCCCCAAATGACACCTTGTTAACTCTGGGAGCAGACTGCTTGCTAGGAAAATCAGTAGTGAGCCTTGTTGTGGGTGAACACCAGTCTGTAGGCAACTAGAGAAAGATGGGTTCAGTTGTTGAGACTTCCCCTTCCAGTGCAGGGGTGTGGGTTCAATTCCTGGTCAGGGACCTAAGATCCCACGTGTCTAGTGGCCAAAAAACTAGAAATAGAACAGAAGCAATATTGTAGCAAATTCAATAAGACCTTAAAGGTGGTCCACATAAAAAAATCTTAAAAACTGTGAGTGTTGCCATATGTAGAGTATTTTCAACAAGTAAATTTTCTCAGAGGAGCAGTTTTAGACCCTTTTTCTGTTTCTCCTCTCTCCCCTTTTTAAAAAAAGAATATTGGAACAAATTATCATGCTGAATGTCTTAACTTTATCCCCATCTACTTATTTGCCAGCAGCTGCTTAGTTCTGTACCAAATGTTTATTTATCTTCCTTGCTGTTTTTGGTCATAAGTCAGTTTACGAGGTTCATTCTCATCCAAAGCATAAAAGGAGTTAACTGAATAAGCAATATGAGGAGGAGTTAACTTGTGAGAAACGTGTTTGCTGTTTCTCTGCTTTGTAACGCATTGTTTCTTCCTAGGTTTTAGCTTTTTTCCACTCTATCAAAAGTTTTTGAAGTGATAGACCTTCACTGTAATAGTGACTAAACTTTAGTTTGTGAGGAGCTCCTCTGAAGTCACATATTTAAATTCAAACAGATGAGTTTTTCCACCGTGAAGGATTTTAATCTGGGATCTGGGAATCCTCCCCTGAAATTGAATTAAAAATTTGTGTTTGTGGTCCTCTGTGCATTTTTCTCAAGAGAATAGTCATAGCTTTCATCAGATTATCAAAAGGAAAATGAAGAAACACTATTTAGCAGCCATAATTTTCTTCCCTTTTGAATCAGAAATATTGAATCAATCATTTTTTGACATTTTATTTTCTGCTTTGTTTTTCCTTTGCATACTATTTTCTGTTAATTCAGGTTACCGTGAGTTGACAATTTGATTCCTAACCTTAATCTTTAAATTATCCTTGAGAATATTTAATGTGTACAATTAATGCTTCTATAAAATAATATATTTAATGTATTTCAGTACTTCTAATGCATTTGAAGTAAAGTAAATTTAAGGCTTAAGATTTATTTTATATAAATCTATTTTAACATTGACATGATAACCAAAGAAGATATATTTATTAATGTGAATATGTGCAATTTTTAGCCTTGATTAAGAAGCCTATACTTATTCATTTTCCCTGATAACTGCTATTAGTCTTTTTTTTTCTGTTGCTTTATTTTTCTCTAATTAAAACTAATTTTGGAAGGCATCCAGATAATGGCACATTCCAACATGAAATTATCTCTTTGTGCTTCAGGCTCATTTTACCTTAAATACGTGTAGAAATTGGTAGTATTCTATTAGTTAGCTTATTGCTTCCAGTGAAAATCTCTGGTTGAACTAGCTTGTTCAGAATGTAATTAGTTCTTTAGAAAATACCTGCTCTGATGTGATAAATGTCAATCCACTGGAGCATTCCAAGGTGGTTGCTAGAAATAGGTAATAGTCATTAAATTGCTGGAAAACCCCAGTGAGTAACTTGGCTAGATTTTAATTGTGATGTTTTGACTTCTGACTATGTATCATGACTCTGATTTCACAAACAAGCAGTTCCTGTGCAGAGCCTCTCAGAACGACTGCAGGGTGTCAGGCAGCACGAGTGGTCCTGGGTGGTCTCATGTCTCTCCTCTCTCTCCAGGGCAATTGGTCTCTAAAGAGATTTAAAATGGATCGCCAGGGGGTGACTCAGGTGCTGTCTCGCTTGTCATATATATCCGCCTTGGGCATGATGACGAGAATCTCTTCCCAGTTCGAAAAAACAAGAAAAGTGAGTGGTCCTCGATCCCTCCAGCCATCCCAGTGGGGCATGCTGTGCCCTTCAGACACTCCTGAAGGAGAGGTAAGGTCCCTGATGGTCTCCGCTGTGTCTGAGGTGATGGCTGTTCTGCTCCTGCCCTGTTCCCCCAGGTTGTATCCTCTCTGGGGTCAACCGTTTATCTTCCAGAGAAGTGTTGATGCAGCATATGAGAACATCAGTGTCATTCCCAAACAGTACCTCCAGAGGCCTTTGATTTACTATTAATAGCTCACCTAAAGAGGGGATTCCCTGGTGGCCCAGAGGTGAAGAATCCACCTGCAATACGAGAGACCTGGGTTCATTCCTTGGGTTAGTAAGGTGTCCTGGAGATGGGTATGGCCACCCACTGTAGTATTCTTGCCTAGAGAATTCCATGGACAGAGGAGCCTGCCAGGGTACAGTCCAGTGGTTGCAAAAGACTCAGACACAACTGAGTAACACTTTTACTTTATTTTCTCACTTAAAGAGACATATGGGCCAAATTTTCTTGCTTGTTTTATTTTATCCCAAGAGTCAAACCACTCAATGAATAGGGGATAAGAATAGGAAGGAAAATTGGGAGACTCATCACCTTTGCTCACGAGAAGCTCTTTTCAAACCACTCCTCATTTTCCTTGACTCTTCTTAGAGGACATCAAAGTCACAGCTGCAGCCAACCAGTAGAATACAGTCCAAGACTTAAAGTGGATTCCTGCCACTTATATAGGAAACATAAGCAGTTACCTAAACACTAAACCAAGGAGTTTAAAGTGGTTTACATCACGACACCAACTACTTCCTGTGTAATGGCTCTTTCTCCTTTGTGTTAGCTATCATTGGTTTCACTTGATCTTATTCCTTCTAGCTTGTAAACTTCTGGTGGAAGGAACTATGTTAGGTTCACCATTGTATCCCAGGCTCCTTAGTCCAGAACCTCATTCTGAGTAGAGGTCCCATAAATATGTGTTGAATGAATAAATTAGTTAATTAGGACAAGTAAAAGATGTATGTTCCGAAATAGGAATTTGTTATGACTTGGGAGAGGTAAAAAATAGAAGTCCATACAGGGCTATAATTTTTAGAAATCATCATTTTTCTACTAATTTATTTTAAACCATATAGAAATTCATGCTAAAATTGTGCTGCTTGTCATATTTGCCTAGTTTATACATCTTGAGCTTTGGAACACCAAGTTTCCCAGAGCTTGCTTCAGCTAATCTCAATAAAGAAACTTTTGTGTATCACTACAGAAGATGGTTTTTAAGAATTAAAGATGTAATCTTTACATATCACATGTGTCTCAAGTGCCTTTTTTTTTTTCTTAGTTTGTTGTATTAAGTCCTTGTTTATATTTGCTTTAAATTTTTTTCTTTGGTTGTATAGAAGTTTAAAAGAATTTTTTTTTTCATTTCCTTTTTACTTTGGAATAATCTTAGACATACAAAAAAAATTCCAAAAATAGTGCAGAGAGTTTCCATGATCGTTCACCTAGATTCCCTAAATGTGATGTCTTATGTAACTGTAGTACATAATTATATTTATCAACCTCATGAAATTAGCATTGGTAACAGTATTGTAATCTCTAGACCTTATTCAGATTTGGCCAGTTGTCCTGCCATGTTTCTTCTGATCCCAAGATTGCACTTTCAGTTGTCAAGCTTCCTTAGTCTCTTAATCTGGAGCAGTTTGTTCAGTCTTTATTTTTTAAGACCAAGAAGCTTATAGAGTACTGGCCAGTTACTTTGCAGACTATCTCTTATTTCAGGCCAGAAGTTTTATGTTCATGTATTCATAATTATCAGTGTTTTCCTTTACTCTTTTACACAACATCATCTTAATGACTATGATATACTATTGTTGGGAAATGACAATTTAAGTAAATCAGTTTCTTTGGGGAGGGGACATTTATAATGCCATCATCATTTCCAGTTCAAATAGTACTGAGCATTTCTGTGGCTAAATCTATGTTTATATCCTCGCTTGTGACTTTAGTGTCACTTCCTCTGAAATAAAGGGTAGGTGTATCCTTCAGGTGGAGAAGGCAATGGCAACCCACTCCAGTACTTTTGCCTGGAAACTCCCATGGATGGAGGAGCCTGGTACGCTGCAGTCCATGGGGTCGCTAAGAGTCGGACATGACTGAGGGACTTCACTTTCACGCATTGGAGAAGGAAATGGCACTCCACTCCAGTGTTCTTGCCTGGAGAATCCCAGGGACGGGGGAGCCTGGTGGGCCGCCGTCTGTGGGGTTGCACAGAGTCGGACACAACTGACGCGACTTAGCAGCAGCAGCAGCATCTTTCAGGCTTTGTATGAACCTCCGAAGTGTCCCCTGTGAGGCCACACTGCTGTGCCTTGCTGCCAGCAGAATGGTGAGCTATATTCAGACACAGACCGTGTTTTGTGTTGTTCATGTTCATTCTTAGACATGACTATCTTTTGTTTTTTAGGCATGTGGTTTGGTTAAAAACTTGGCCCTTATGACACACATCACGACTGACATGGAAGATGGACCCATTGTCAAATTAGCCAGTAACTTGGGAGTAGAAGATGTGAACTTACTGTGTGGGGAAGAGCTCTCTTACCCAAATGTGTTTCTCGTCTTCCTCAATGGTGAGTCTGCTGGGGAGGCATGTGGATCCTAAACGATCTGTGGGGGAAGGGGAAGGAATTGACTATGTATTTAAAGCACAAATATACTTTTAATTCTGCAGTCAGATTCTCTGCCACTGAGCTCTACTCCCTGAACATACCTTAGTTCTGGACCCAGGTTGACCTTAGCTGAAAGGTAGAAAAAATGGTAACAAACACTTATTCCGTTGACCGGATCACCCAGGTTCTGAGATGATGTGGCTGTCAGAGCAAAAGGTAAAGGTGCCCTCTGGCAGCTGCCATTGTATCCGCAGTAGAACGAGGTTCAGCACGATATCCTTAAGTTCAAGTTAAATATGTGAGGCCTTCTGCCGAAATAATCAGGTCAGCCCTTAGAGTGAGATGACTTGTCTTCAGCCACTGAGTGAGCGAGTGTCAGCAGGCTCTGCAGGAGGGCCCCGTTCCTCCCGCTCCAGCTCCGCCTGCTGCACCCCTCCCCATCCCCTCAGGTCCTCCAGAGACGCTGCAGCAGGTGTGGCTTGGTGGCTGGGCGTCTGTCCCCTCCCTGGGGTGCTGCCCGTGCTCATCCTCACCTCAGCCCCCACATCTTCTCCCCCTCCTTCCCGCTCTGGGGGGGCTTCACCGTCTGCTGTGAAGGCTGGTGGGAAGGAAACGGCGCCGTTCAGTGCCTGCCTGGTCAGTGCATCCCGGCAGCTCACGCTGAGTGTGACCTTGCCCCGCAGGTTCGCCCAGCGCCTCCTGGGAGCCCACGTCTGTCTGCCGCCTCTCTCAGATAATGACAGCAGTAGCAGCTTCCTGACAGCAGTCGCTCAGTGCTCTGTAGGCGCTCTATAGGACGTCAGCCCGTTTAACCCTCACGTCAGCACAGTAGAGGTGACAGAGCCAGGGTTCAGCTCCAGGGCTCTGGAGCCCGAGTTCACGGGCCTGCATAGTGCTGACAGGGGAGACAGACTGACTTCCCCAGCGACACGCAGCCAGCGCGTGGTAGGCCAGCTCTGGATTTGAGTTCCCAGGGTGCCCTTGACCCCTCCACCCCTCCACTCTGTTGTGCCTTCCAGCCTTGCAGACTGGCTGCAGGCTCAGTAACGGTATTTCCAAATGACTGCTCACTGCTGGTGATTGTTTTTATTGAGCAGATATTTTAAATCCATTAGATGTATTTTTTTTTTTTTTTTCTTGTCTCCTGTCCCAGCTGATCTTCCCGAGTGGGCTGGCTTCCTCGGACGCCGGCACACCTGCTTGTCTTCAGCCCCGCCCCACTGCAGTTCCCACCCTGTGTCCTCCCCTCTTTCCCCTTTCTTTCACCCTCCCCGGTTATGACTGCACGGGGATCGTTCTTATCTTAGGTGTCCGAGGTCCTCTGCTAGTGTTCAGCAGTGCTCTGCGAGGATTGTTCCATTTGCCGATGTATTCTTTTTTTATTTTTAAACTTAAAATTTTATTTTTTTCATTTATTTTTATTAGTTGGAGGCTAATTACAATATTGCAGTGGTTTCTGCCATACATTGACATGAATCAGCCGTGGATCTACATGTGTTCCCCATCCTGATCCCCCCTCCCGCCTCCCTCCCCATCCCATTCCTCTGGGTCTTCCCAGTGCACCAGCCCCAAGCACTTGTCTCATGCATCCAACCTGGACTGGTGATCTGTTTCACACTTGATAATATATATGTTTCAATGCTATTCTCTCAGATCATCCCACCCTCACCTTCTCCCATAGAGTCCAAAGGTCTGTTCTGTACATCTGTGTCTCCTTTTCTGTTTTGCATATAGGGTTATCGTTACCATCTTTCTAAATTCCATATATATGCATTAGTATACTGTATTGTGTTTTTCTTTCTGGCTTACTTCACTCTGTATAATGGGCTCCAGTTTCATCCATCTCATTAGAACTGATTCAAATGAATTCTTTTTGACGGCTGAGTAATATTCCATTGTGTATATGTACCACAGCTTCCTTATCCATTTGTCTGCTGATGGGCATCTAGGTTGCTTCCATGTCCTGGCTCTTATAAACAGTAGATGTATTTTTTATTTCAATCTTGAACATTCTTACTTCTTTCTGCTTAGGTAACATCCTGGGTGTCATTCGAGATCACAAGAAGCTGGTGAATACATTTCGACTGATGCGAAGAGCAGGCTATATCAATGAGTTTGTTTCCATCTCAACAAATCTGACAGATCGATGTGTCTATATTTCCTCTGATGGAGGAAGACTGTGCAGGTAGGTGTGGCTGGAAACAGTTAAGATCTCTTTATTTACTTTTGAAAGAAATGGACTTGTTTTGATTTTAGAAGTTGCTTTAAACTCTTTCATTGTTAAGATAAATTTAATTCAGTTAGCAAACACCTCATGAATATGCATCTTGGCTACTAGGGATTCAGAGATTAATGGGAGTCAGTCTCTGCCCTCAGAGAACTCAGTCTGCTGGGAAAGGCAGAAATAATTAGTAATAACAACCAACTATGTGAGTAGTAAGTGCCAGCCATTATGTATTATCTTAATAGATGCTCTGTCTATAAGACTTTAACCACATTCAACCCTATGAGGTTGGATTATTATTTTCATTTAACAAATGAGATACTGGGATTTGGTGAGACTAAGTAAATTACCCAAAGCCAGATAGTGGTGGAGTCTTTTTTTACTGGAAAGTTCTTAGAATTCATTTGACTTCAGTAATCCTGATTTTACCCACTCTATTCTGATGCTCTGATCTGAGCTTTAAAGGATGCATACAGACTTCCCTGGTGGTCCAGTGGCTTACTCTGAGCTCCCAGTGCAGGGGGCCCAGGTTTGATCCCTGGTCAGGGACTAGATCCTGCATGCTGCAACTAGAACCCAGTGCAGCCAAATAAATAAACTAAAAATAAACATTAAAAAAAAACCAAGTAAAATAAACAAAAGCCCAAATCCTTTGGGGAAACAAAGTGGTGGGGGGGGGATGGGGGAGGGGAGGGTGTTGAGTACTGTTGCTTTAAAGGATAGAGGAGGGAAGGGAAAAGGCTAAGGAATGCAAGAAAGAAAACATGGCAGCCCAGAGAGATGACACCACATTCGACCCTTAGAGGAGCGGGTGCCTTGTGTTCGCTCAGCGGTGTTTAGGGCCTGCTTTGTTCGGCTGTGTCAGAGGCGGGGACACAGAGACTGGTATGACGTGGTTTCTGGTGCTTTGGGGTATGCAGGGACCTCCGCTGCGGATGTCCCTTGTTTCCCAGGCCTGCACTCGATTCACCAGGGTCTCTCCTTGGGGGCCTCATGGTTTGAGGGCACGAGTCGGTGAGCTCGCAGTGGCTGGGGAGGTGGCAGGAGCTGGCAAGTCTGACAGCTGGGAACGTGGACTGCCTTTGCCCCTGTCTGTCCAGCCTCCCTTTCTCCTTCCGGTCGCTCCCCTTGTTTTCTTCAGGCTTGCGCTTCCCCACTGGCAGTCTTCTTGGGTTGGTCAGTCAGGTGCTCTCTCTTGCTCAGCCAAAGACCAGGCATATGACCCACGCCAGGCCAGTCAGGCTCTCTTCAGAGAGCTTGAATCCCAAGGAGAATAACTGAGAGCAAGACATGGTCAGAACAGATTCATCCGGACAGCAGTGCATGCAAGAGACTGCGCACTCCCCCTGTCTTTCGGGATCTTTGGTGCTTTGGCTCTTAGCTCCTTTTCTTTCTGAGGCTGAGCCTTGTACCCTTTTCTTTCATTCTTTTCTAGTAAGTTTTGAGCCTTTTAGTAAATTCCTTAAAATTTTCTTCTTCTCCTTTTTAGTAAACTTCGTCTTTGCTTAAATTAGCCAGCGTTGGTTCCTATTCTCTGTGATCAAAAAGCCCTAATTGAAGCTTATACCCATGTTTGAATCCTAATATTCCACTTATTGACTCATGTGACTCTTGAGTTTATTACTTAAGTCTCTGGGCCTTGATTTTCCTCATCAGTAAAAATGTAAATAACAGTGCCTTCCTAGGATTGATACAAGGTGTGGTAAGTGCCTTGTAGGATGCCAGGCAAGCACGGGGTACTTACTTAGAGCCACTAACATGGCCCAGTTAAGGGTGGGGAAAACACTGACATTTTCTCAATTACTCTTTTTTAAGACATTTCACTACACCCAATATAATATGGCATAGCCTAAAAAGAGAACTAATTCTTTTTTAGAAGTGATTTTATAATGACCCCACAGAGATCTGGCAGGAAGAATTAGTAGAATTTGTGGAATAAAGTGAAAGGTGACTGAGGTGGCTAAGTGCAGTCCCTTCCCTCGCCTGTCCCCGCTCTGTCAGCACTTCTCAGCCTCTTGTCCTGAGCTAAACTGCAAGCCCCCTGGGGAGGGCAGGGCTCCTGCTTCCCTGGTGGGAGGAGCAGCCAGGACTTCAAGGTAGCGTCGAGCCAGTTGCAGCACCTTGTTTCCCCCTTTTGTAATCGTGCAGCTCCTCCTCTCTGCTGTCTGCAGGTGCGCGTCAGTCCCGAAGGTCGCGTGGGCCTGAGGGTGGGGTGCATGAGTGCATGCCGGCCTCTCGCTCCTCTGGGAGAACCGCTTGTCCACATAGCAACAGCCCTTGACCTTCTGAGCCGCGCGCAGTCCTTTGTGTCCGCGTTTCCTCGCGGAGGCGGAGCCCTCAGAGGCAGGTTCCCACTGACAGTTACAGGTTAATCTGTCAGAATGTGTGGACCGAGGCGCTCTGCCTTACTTAAACCCATGACATCACCAAACATCACAGAGTGAGAAGGCTTTATTCTCTGTCCACTCACTCCCACTGTTTGGTTGTATGTAGCTTTAGGTACCCTGCTCGAGTCGTCCGCTAGTGTTACCCTGAACCAAAAGCAGTGCAGGCCGCTGACGGTCATCAGACCTTCGCTAAAAATGCCACTGTTTTTCTCAGTGACTGTTCTCTCTGACTGCTGACCTCTCCATATTCCCAGTATGAAATCAGAAGACATTTTTGGTATGATGGATGCATTTACAAAAACATATGCTATTTAAGTTGTTAAAGTTTTTGGTTTTTTTTTTTTTTGCTAGATTTTATCGAGTATTTCACGTTGCTTTCTCATTCAGCACCAAATACTTCCAAAGATACTTGGACGAAATAACTGTGTGTGTGAACATGTGCCTGTGCCTGGGCTGGTGTATGTGAAAGAGAAAATAGGCCCCTGCGCTCTCACACTTGTAAAAAATACCTCGTGTCCTCAAACAATCCAGAAACATGTCTGTAGCTTCCCTCACTTCACTACAGTGGATCTATTGATTTTATTCTTCTGTTGAACTATTGCTATAAAGCTGTTTTTTTGTCTTCCAGACCCTATATAATTGTAAAGAAACAGAAACCTGCAGTCACAAATAAGCATATGGAAGAGCTGGCTCAGGGGTACCGGTAAGTAGCCAAAAGCAAAGCTCCTCAGTCTCCTTAAGACTCATTTATATGATCTAAATGGAAGTAATGGTGTTTGAGCTGAGCATTTATAAAAAGCATATTTTCATTTTTAGTCTCTTAATTCCTCTCTACCAAATATAACCACCTGTTAAAAACCTTTTCTCTATGTGAGCTTGTTTGGACATGAAAAAATGTTTATCAGTTTAGATAATGCAGGTTATAGAATGATGGTGTAAATCAGCACAGATGAAGTGGTAGGAGAAAGTTATGTTGATGTAGATACTAGGTCTCTCATCATATGGGACTTTTTAAATCATAAAAGGTATTTTTAGAAACGGGACCAGATGAACAAGAATCACAGATTTTTCTAATATTTTGGTGATTTTTGATAACTGTGGTCTAATAATAACATGTTTCAAGTATCCCAGTGTATTGATACTTTTTGGGAGAGAAGGATGCTTTGAGGCTAAGTGAAAGCACATATCTTCCACTATTGCATGTAAAATATGGCAGTAAAATGCTTTTTAAGTGTCCATTTCACCAATATTTTCTCAGGAATTTTGAAGATTTCTTACATGAGAGTCTGGTTGAATACTTAGATGTGAATGAAGAAAATGACTGTAACATCGCACTCTATGAACATACAATTAATAAGTAAGTAGGATCCATAACAGCCATAATTAAAACCTGTTCTGATGTTAGACACAGCCTCCTTTTTTCATTTCATCTTCAGTTCTGTTGTGTATTCTTAGTAGGAACTGTTAGGAGTATTCTGTTTTATAATGAAGCATAATCCATTGCTCATCCCAAGAGTATCACAGAACTGCTAAAAAATAATCTTTAGATTTAATTATCCTTCCTTTTCATTTTACATGTAGTGTGTGTTTCTTAAAAGGAATTGCTTCTCTACTTCGATTACTGACAAAAATTGAACTAACGAATCAGGCTATGTAATGGTGTTTTTATCTCTCAGGGTTGATTTTGTCAGTGGATATCTGAATTCCTGTTGTCAGTGCAGAAATTCCCTATGTTGTTTTGCTGTAAAGATATCTGTAAATCTATGTGTAATATTGACATGAAATGTTAATGTGTCCACAGTGTTTCTTCTAGAACAATGATATTTTTAGAAATATCTGTGTTCTATTTGAAATACGTTAAAAGACATTTACATCATTTGCTGTCTGATGCTTGTGGCTAAGGTACCACTTTGGGCTTTTCTGATAGCTCAGTCGGTAAAGAATCTGCCTTCAATACAGAAGACCAGGGTTTGATTCCTGGGTCAGGAAGATCCCCTGGAGAAGGAAATGGCAGTCCACTCCAGTATTCTTGCCTGAGAAAATACCATGAACAGAGGAGCCTGGCAGGCTACAGTCCATGGGATTGCAAGAGTAGGACGTGACTTAGAAACTATACCACCAACGTACCAGTTACCTAAAATGAGAATTTTTGCAGTTATATTGTTAAATGGTTAATACTGCCACCTGATAACTATTTATGTCTTCAATTAGGAAAGCACTTTTCTGTTTTCTGCTGCCAGATGAAATGTACCATTTTATTTTTGTCTTACTGTAATTTAGTAAATAATGCTTTTCAGTCAGTTTTTCATTCTTAAATGTGTGAATCTCTCAAAGTACAATTTTTATACCCCTCATTTCAAGATTGACTGAGTGTAAAGGAGAACTGTTAAATGATGGAGGTGGTTTAGTCACTAAGCCATGTCTGACTCTTGAGATCCCACAGACTATATCCCGCCAGGCTCCTCTGTCCATGAGGTTTTCCAGGCAAGAATACTGGAGTGGGTTGCCATTTCCTTTTCCAGGGAAATCTTCCTAACCCAGGGATCAAACCCACGTCTCCTACATGGATAGGCAGGTTCTTTACCCCTGAGCCTCCAGGAAAGCCTCCATCATCGTTACTCAGGCCCAAAACCTCATTTTCAGCTTTGCCTCCTCTTCTGCCCTGCACCCACAGCTAATCCCTTAACACACCATGTGGACTTTCCAAGTATACTTGGAATTCGAGCTCTCCTTCACATGGCAGGCCGCTGCCGTTGCTTGTCTGGACCCTTGCAAAAGGCTTCTGACTAGGTTTGCACCTGTTCTTACATAGTCTGTTCTTCAAGGATCAGAATGCTCTCGTCCCTGCTCTTCTCAGCCCCGTCCCCCACCCCTGACCCCCCCACCACCTCCAGTGGCTCCCCCTCTACCTCTGCGGTCCCTGCAGAGGCCTTCACGTTCCTGCCCGGAACCTGTGCCGCCGCGTCGTCGCCTCCCTCATCCTGCTTTGACCACGCCGGCCTCGCCTTCACGTTCCTGCCCGGAACCTGTGCCGCCGCGTCGTCTCCTCCCTCATCCTGCTTTGACCACGCCGGCCTCGCCTTCACGTTCCTGCCCCAAGCCCTCTGCCCGGACTGCTCTCACCTACCTGCATGGCTCACTCCTTCACATTCTCCACGTCTTCACGCAGCACCACCTTCTCAGCGAGTTTTCCTGACCACCCTATTTAAAGTCGAAACCCTTCCTCTGTCCACCCCTGTTCACGACTTTATTTTTCTATTGCTTAAATCTTAAAATCTGTAAAATGCACATTTTATTGATGCATCTTTGTGTCGTCTATCTCCCTCCAGTAGAAGCTTCATGAAGGCAGGGATTTTGTCTGTTTTGTTTACTGCTACAATTTCAGTCACTCAGTCGTGTCCGACTCTTTGTGACCCCATGGACTGCAGCACGCCAGGCCTCCCTGTCTATTACCAACTCCCAGAGTTTACTCAAACTCATGTCCATCAAGTTGGTGATACCATCCAACCATCTTATCCTCTGTCGTCCCCTTCTCCTCCTGCCTTCAATCTTTCCTAGCATCAGGGTCTTTTCAAATGAGTCAGTTCTTCACATCAGGTGGCCAGAGTATTGGAGTTTCAACTTCAGCATCAGTCCTTCCAATGACTATTCAGGACAGGTCTCCTTTAGGATGGACTGGTTGGATCTCCTTGCAGTCCAAGGGACTCTCAAGAGTCTTCTCCAATACCACAGTTCAAAAGCATTAATTCTTCGCGCTCAGCTTTTTTTATAGTCCAACTCTCACATCCATCCATGACTACTGGAAAAACCATAGCTTTGACTAGACGGACCTTTGTCGACACATAGCTCTGCTTTTTAAATAAGCGCTCTAGGTTGATCATAACTTTTCTTCCAAGGAGCAAGTGTCTTTTAATTTCATGACTGCAGTCACCATCTGCAGTGATTTTGGAGCCCCCAAAAATGAACTCTGTCACTGTTTCCACTGTTTCCCCATCTTTTTGCCATGAAGTGATGGGACCAGATGCCATGATCTTAGTTTTCTGAATGTTGAGCTTTAAGCCAACTTTTTCACTCTCCTCTTTCACTTTGATCAAGAGGCTCTTTAGTTCTTCTTCCCTTTCTGCCATAAGGGTGGTGTCATCTTCATATCTGAGGTTATTGATATTTCTCCCAGCAATCTTGATTCCAGCTTATGCTTCCTCCAGCCCAGCGTTTCTCATGATGTACTCTGCATATGAGTTAAATAAGCAGGGTGACAGTATGCAGCCTTGATGTACTCCTTTCCTGATTTGGAACCAGTCTGTTGTTCCAGGGCCAGTTCTAACTGTTGCTTCTTGACCTGCATACAGGTTTCTCAGGAGGCAGGTAGGTCAGGTGGTCCGGTATTCCCATCTCTTGAAGAATTTTCACAGTTTATTGTGATCCACACAATCAAAGGCTTTGGTGTAGTTAATAAAGCAGTAGATGTTTTTCTGGAACTCTCTTGCTTTTTTGATGATCCAGCGGATGTTGGCAATTTGATTTCTGGTTCCTCTGCCTTTTCTAAATACAGCTTGAACATCTGGAAGTTCATGGTTCACATACTGTTGAATCCTGGCTTGGAGAATTTTGAGCATTACTTTGCTAGCATGTGAGATGAGTGCAATTTTGTGCGGTAGTTTCATCATCCTTTGGCATTGCCTTTCTTTGGGATTGGAATAAAAACGGACCTTTTCCAGTCCTGGAGCCACTGCTGAGTTTTCCAAATTTGCTGGCATATTGAGTGCAGCACTTTCACAGCATCATCATTTAGGATTTGAAGTATAGCTCAACTGGAATTCCATCACCTCCACTAGCTTTGTTCATAGTGATGCTTCCTAAGGCCCACTTGACTTTGCATTCCAGGGTGTCTGGCTCTAGGTGAGTGATCACAGCATCATGATTATCTGGGTTGTTCTTGAAGATCTTTTTTGTATAGTTCTTCTGTGTATTCCTGCCACCTCTTTTTAATATCTTCTGCTTCTGTTAGGTCCATACCATTTCTGCCCTTTATTGTGCCCATCTTTGCATGAAAAATTCCCTTGGTATCTCTAATTTTCTTGAAGAGATCTCTAATCTTTCCCATTTTGTTGTTTTCCTTTATTTCTTTGCATCGATCCCTGAGGAAGGCTTTCTTATCTCTCCTTGCTATTCTTTGAAACTGCATTCAATTGGGTATATTTTTCTTTTCTCCTTTGCCTTTGGCTTCTCTTCTTTTCATAGCTGTTTGTAAGGCCTCCTCAGACAACCATTTTGCCTTTTTGCATTTCTTTTTCTTGGGGATGGTCTTGATCACTGCCTCCTGTACAATGTCACAAACCTCCCTCTGCAAAGGAAAATGATTATCAGTATCACCAAGTTATCCCATACATCAAATTAATTTTACTTTAAAAATAAGAAAAAAAGTGATAATAATTCATACTTAGGATATTTATTAAAATGTAGAAGTACATAAAGTAATTCCCCATCCCACAAAACTCCACCCCCCAGAAGTAGCCAGTGCTAATGGTTTAATATGTACTCTTCTAGATTTTTTTAGGTAAATGCAAACATACATGCATGGTTACAATTATTTTCAGCATCTTGATTTTTTCACTCAACGTTATTAACATTATCATCCTGGATATTTTTCCACATGAATGTATGTGTATATATTTATACATATAAATACTTTATTTTAATTGCTTTTGATTATGTTGTCTGTACATAAATACCTTATTTAATTTGTTCCACTATTGATGACTATTTAGGCTATTTCTAACTTTTTCCACTATTGCAAAGCAACAGGTCAGTTATTCTTAATTTGAGCTAAATTTAAGGCACTTATGCATGGTGAACAGGAAGTTTCCTATTTCCTGTTTAGGATAGAAGCTTAGAGTGGTTATAATTTTGCATAATATTGAATGATAAGATGTTACACAAAAACCCAAGTAACTTTTTGGCCAATCCTATAAAATTCCTTCCTGTTTTGTAAAATTCAAATCCAGACTTTCATAAAGTTTGGACTTTCAAATAATCTTATACATGTTCTTGTCATGACAAAAGAGGAAACTTAGATCTTTACCTTCTTCATTTTCAGCTTATCCCAATTTTTACATCAGAAAAAATAAAGTTTTTTGGATTGGTCAAATTGGCCATCATATTAAACATAAACAGAACAGTACTTTTTAACAAACTGTTTCTTTCTTGGTTATAAAATGTTTCTATAAGCTGTTTTTCTATCAAAAAAACAGAAAGAAAGCAAAGCCTAGAGCTCTGCTGACAAAGACCTAAAGTGTCTGAGTTGGGGTTCTTCGAGGTTGTGGGGTCAGAACTGTAGTCTTCAAAACCAAAAACTGCATGGAAAGCATGCTCTCTAACCAAACAAGGGACAAAATTTAGTACACATATTTTGAAAAATAAATAGATGGATAACTGGATAAGTGGGAGATCTTTGCCAGGTACACTGCAACTACTTCTCCATGATGTGTTGGGTTATCTTGGAAATCACTTCTCTTCAGAAGTACTGTAAACTGTTGAAATTATGATTAAGGTTGTGCTTCAGAAACACTCAAGGAAGGGATAGAGGGTCATTGAAGACCACAGGACCTGGATGTGAGATGTTTCATCAAGACCTGAAAACAGTCTGGCTGCCCTTTCCCATTGAGGTGTCTCAGTTGCCTTATCGTTTAACCAGAACTGAGTTTTATGCAAAATTATATTATGAAAGTAATCAAGATTCTAACATCTACTAGGCAAAGTCTTGCTTTTTGGCCAGTATCTAGAACTGAGCTGTCTAGTAAAAATATAATGCAAGTCACCATATAACTTTAAGTTTTCTCGTAGCCACATTAAAGAAGTAAAAAAGAAAGAGATGAAATTAATTTTAACAATTTTACTTAACCCAGTGTATCTGAAAGATTATCATATCAACATGTATTCATTATAAAATACTGAGAGACTTTACATTTTTTTCCTGCCAAGTCTTATCTGGTGTGTAGTTATACCATATCTCAATTTGGATGCTAAATTTTCATTGGAAATACTTGATCTGATTTCATAACATTTACAACTGAAAAGTTAGGTTAATACATTTAAGTGATTACAAGCACAACTAAAAGATTTAAAATAACTGATTCAGAATTCAGCTTCTCAGCTACACTGTTCTAACTTTTCACATGCTCAACAGCCATGTTTAGCTGGTGGTTACAGTATTGATCCCCCGGTGGCTCAGACGGTAGAGAATCTGCCAGCAATGCAGGAGACCCAGGTTCAATCCCTGAGTCAGGAAGATCCCCTGGAGAAGGGCATGGTAGCCTACTCCAGTATTCTTGCCTGGAGAATTCCATGAGCAGAGGAGCCTGGCGGGGGTATAGCCCATGCGCCACAAAGACTCGTAGACGACTGAGCAACTAACACTTCAGCTCTCACTTCAGGTCTTAGTAACTGTTCTTAAAGGTGATACACTCCTCTACGATGATAGTACAGCTTTTTCATTGATGTAAGTTAGAAAAGTGGGAGAAAGCAGGCTACTCATCCACGTAGATATATTTTTTTAATTTTTAAAAAAACTTTTTGAAGTATGTGTGTCAGTCACTCAATTGTGTCCGACTGTTCGTGACACCGTGGACTGTAGCCCACCAGGCTCCTCTGTCCATGGAATTCGCCAGGCAAGAATACCAGAGCAGGTTGCCATTTCCTTCTCCAACTGAAGTATAGTTGATGTACAATGTTGTGCCATGTAGATATTTTTGATACTGCATTTCTATGTGCTTAATATAGTAATTTCTTAAAAAGTGTTAGTTATTAGTAGTATGTGATAATGTTTTATTTTTTATATAGGCATTCTGTATTGTCTCCCTTCTCTTGTATTGCTTCATATAATAAAGTTGCACATTTTAGTTTCACTGAAAAAATAATTTGCTTTATTATATTTTATTTACGTATGGATTTTTTCCTATCAGCTTTACTAGCATCAAATTTTATTATGAGGTTTTGTTATATAAATTTATTATATGTTTTATATATAGATTTTTATATATATATTTATGTAAACTTAAATTTTATTGTCTAGATCCCTCTGGGGCCTAGATAGTAATATTTTTTATACCCTTAAAGAGATATTTATTTTGTACTTGGTGCCTAAGACGTCTGATTCTTAATTACCTTGATAGAGATACCACCCACTTGGAGATTGAACCTTTTACTCTCCTCGGAGTCTGTGCTGGCCTGATCCCGTACCCTCATCACAACCAGTCCCCAAGAAACACATATCAGTGCGCCATGGGGAAACAAGCCATGGGTAAGAATTTCTTCTTGAACTTGGTTGTAAACACTTGGATGAAGACTTATGTCTTTATTCGTGTTTCACTAGTATTGCATGTTTGGCCGGGTCAGATGTTGCTGACACATCTGAGTGTTACCAAACCCAGGAGGCTGTGGAATTCCACAGTGATTGCAGGTTCCCCAGTCTTGTCTAAAGCCTAAATAAAAATGGAGAAAACCTCTCTGAACTTGTTCCCTTGGCCGAACAAAAGGATACATAATAACTGTCACAGAATTACAAGTTAGTAAATATAAAGAGAAAAGCCCTATTTAAATGTAAGTTATTAACCAAGAGAGCTGGAAGAAAGAGCAGTGAAAACTCAGAAGGAGGAGAGTGGAAGGCAATAGGGATAAAGAGCTACAGTATAGATTAGAATGTACTTAGTTATTGTCTGGATGACAGTCACTGAGCCCGTAATATCCACACAGTTGCTCCTGTAGCTCCTGAAACATTCAGTATGTGTCACACAGTTTCCTGAATTTGTGTTTCTTTCTTTCTTTCTACTTTTCTTTGCTTTCATTCATTCATTGATTATCATCCATAGCATTTATTGAGCATCAACAATAAACCAGACAGGAGTACTGGAACCTGAAAATAGAGAGCTGACAGAGTCCTGCCCTCAGTGAGTTCACAGTCTAGTAGGAGAGAATAGTGAATACACCGGGAATTAGATATAGTCTGATACACGCTGTGGCAGACTGATAGCTAGAGTCTAAGGGAGTAGGAGCAGAAAGAACACCTGAGGTTAGGGAGTGGTTGTTTCTGGAGACTAGAACTGAACTGAGTCTTGAGGACTCTTGAGTATTTCTCACAGGTATGAGAATGTAAGCGAGCAGTGTGTGGGGAAGTCTTGGTATATACTTTGATACAGCTGGTCTGTATCATGTTTGCTATATAGTATGGGCAGAGAGGCATGCTGGAGAGATGCCATATGTGGAGGAGTTTGGATTTTTGTCTTGAAGAGGATACAGAGGATACTGGCAAAAAAAAAAGTAAGTTTTGCTTATGAGATTTTTTTTTTTGAAATATTTTTTAAAACTCATTTAAATCCTATTAAGTTGAATAAATTTTCTTTTCATCTGTGTCTATGACATCAACATGACTTATCATCTCTGATTTAAAGTATGCTACAAGGAGGTTCATAAAGAAACCGTAAAAGGTTTTTGCGTTGCCTTTGGGTAACAACTGGAATGCAGTTAGCCTCTCAGTTACTGATAATTAGCTTGACAATTAAGGAATTCTGTTTCTCCTATGGATAAAGAGTATGCATGTCTTTTCGAGTTTTTATATTGCCCTTTGGTTGGCCACAAAGAAATAAGAAGCATGTTGTCCTGCTACCATTTACCTGAATGATGTAATGCCTGGACAGTTGAGAATAATTCCCAGTGGGAAAATCTAAACAGCAGCTCATCAATTTAGCGTTTCCCATTCATCCTCCACAGCAGTGTAGGCTGAGTTCCCGCTTGTGCTTCTGACTTGCTAACAAGTTGAAATATACAGTACTGAATCCTGTGTGTCCTGAAAGGGCTATCACTTCTATTGGGTTTACCAAACCATTTTGTTTCATGATGTGAATCCCAGCTGAAACAATACACCTTTTGTGTAGAACCTTCAGCAGAATTAACGGAAGACTAATCACTTCATCGCGAATGCCACTCTTTAGTGTGTTTGAAGATTGAAACAGAAAGGGCTGTATCTCTCACCACTTGGCAAATCTTTTTGTTTTTGTAAATAAGTGACTCGAACGGATGAAATAATATTTTTATTTTTGTAACTTCTCTTCCTACCAAAAAAGAAAAAAAAAAAGAAAAAGCCTTTATTTTGTAGCCCTGCGTACCTAAAACGTTTGGCCAGTTACCACACACAGTTAAGCAGGATCAGTGTGTACAGAAAGCCAATTCAGTGTCTGTAGAGTTCTTTTGTAGTTTTCTGTGCGAAGGTTTTTCTTCTCGTTTTGTTTTGAGTGTCATTTGCAATTCATTGTCTGTGTTTTCTGAGGCTGGTGTATTCAGCTGCTCTGACCCTGGGTCCTGCACATTTAGCTCCTAGGATACAATCCTCTGACGTGACTGCTGACGCTAGGGAGACAGAAGCCGCTGAATATCTTAAGCAATAATAAAAAAAAAAAAAAGCTTTTGTTACTGTTTGTTATTATAAAACACCTGACTGGAAAGAGAAGCCATGAGATAAAAGTAATATTTAAAGTTGGCACATGAGAAGGCCACTTTGTTCTGTGGGCACTGAAATGCTGCGCAAGTACTGAGCGAGGTCTGTAGGAAAACTTGCGAAAGGAGAGAAGGCAGCAGACGGGGACCAGAGCAGAGATCCAGGCCTGAAGCAAACCCGGCTCCTTGGGTTGGGCTTCTCGGAGTCATTTTAATTCCACGCTGTCTTGACTGCTAGTGAGTAAAACCACACTATCCCATTTTAGGTGTCAGCCATTGCATGAGACTGTATATAGCTCAGAGATTCTGTGTGGATTTTCTTTCTTTTTTTTTTTTTCGGATGAAAAATTATACAGTCACTTTTTGTGATTCCTTATATATCCTCCCAGTGTCTGTGTGGATTTTATAAGAAAATATTTTAGTTTCTCTTCATAGTCCATGTGGAAAGTGAAAGACAGTATCCCAGAATTAATTCGCTAAATACTCTAACCAACCTGAAAGTTGACTGTATGCCATTTACCACCAACCCCTCCCATTCACCAGTGAGAAAATAAAAGTCATTTTCTGTCACTACGAAGGAGACCAAGACAGCACAGACGACAGAGGCTGGAGAGCCTTACCTTGTATATCGGACAGGGCTGACTCGAACGCAGCCTAGAACACCAGCAGAGGGTGTTTCTTAAATCTAAGGCTCTTTAAATTATTCGTGGAGTTCAGGGCTCCGCATAGCATGTAACTGAGTTCCTGGGAGACCCCTGCCATGCCTGTGGCTCTGTTGTGATGTGGTGCAGAGCGCAAAGTCAGGTCGGCGTGTGGAGGTGGCAGGGTCTTCAGGTCACCCAGGGCTGCAAGTGAAGCCTGGCTGAGGGGGCCGCGTTGTCTGCTGCCCCCGGCACCCGACGCCAAGTTCGCATGAGTCACGCTTTCATATCCTGCCCATTTTATTAGTTGGCACGCCTCTAGTGGAACCCTTTCTCCCGTTTAAAAGGACCTTTTGGTCACTGTCAGCTCAATTAATGAATATGCATCACATCCCTCCTCCAGCCCCCGCTGCTTCTCACCGCCCCTTCCTCCTTCAGTTCCAAACTGCTTGGACTTTTTAAAAGTTGGGTATTAACGCAGCTTCTGTTTTGGTTTTGTTTTTGACTGAGTCTGTTCCTAAGTGGGTAGTTCCTTCTCTTGTATCCCCCACTTTACAGTAGGATGGGGTGTACTAGAAATAAGCTAGAGGATTTCAAAATATTAGAAACACATAATGTACACATGAAAACTCATAAAATGTGGTTTCATTCTACATCTCTTCTTCTCTCGTTTTCTGTTTGAATTTTTTTTTAAGACAATTTTTTTTTAATCCATTTGGGGATACAAAGTGAAAACATGTCTTGACCAAATTATCCATGGTAATTCTCTTTTAGAATTCTGTTGGTTAAAAAAGACATACTCATTGTAGCTACTGTAGGTGTAAGCCTGTGTGACAGTTCCTGAGACTAGAATGTTTATAATGAGGTACAGTCCCATATGTAGGGTTAGAGTTGGAGGTAGAATGGGTAGTCTTGCAGGATGATGAGTATGTATTTTTACTGCTAATATTGTTAATATTAGTCATAATGAATGTTGCCACTCATTGAGTATCCAACTGATTTATGTACATTTCTTCATTTAACATATTAATAATAATAGTCCTGAGATATAATACATACCTCTTTGTTTCTGACAAGGAAACTGAATTCCAGTTTGGTTGAGTAACTGTTAAGAGATTACTTTATGTCTTCTATACAGTGATCTTTGTAAAACTTACTAAAATTTTTCTGAACTGAAGCTAACTTTCCTCACTCTTCTGGTTCACCGTGGATCATGATGAAGGTAGACTGTGAATTATAAACCCCCTTGAGGACAGGGACTGTGTCTGCTATTTATCACTGTATCTCTGGGGCCTAGCCAGGTGCCAGCTTAATAGGTACTTAATAAATGTCTCAACAACAAATGAATCTCTGAGCACATTAATATTGTTAAGAAATCACATGCAGATTTTTAAAACAATCTTTGAAATGAAGAACTATGTTGGAGGACTTTACAACCCAATACTTAGACTTACCATAAAGCCGTAGTGAGGAAGACAGCGTGATATTGACATAAGGGTAGGCAAGTAGATCGGTGGAACAGAATCCAGAAACAGAGCCACACTTTTATGAGTAGTTGATTTTCGATGACTATACCAGGGCAATTGAGAGGAAAGGAAAATCTTTTCAATAAAATAAAATGTCTGAGTATCTATATAGAAAAAAATGAATGTCAGTTCCTGTCTCATACCATATAAAAAGTTAATACAAAATGAATCACACCCCTAAATGTAAGAGCTGAAACTATAAAACTTATAGAAGGAAACTTAAGCAAAAATCTTTGTGACCTCAAATGATGTAAGAGTTCTTAGAACACATAAAGAACAAACTATAAAAAATGAAAATTTTAGCAAACTGGACTTTCTTAAGTTATACTTCTTCTCTTTGAAGGATGCTGTTAAGACTATGAAAGACAGGGACTTCCCTGGTGGTCCCATGGTTAAGACTTACCGCTTCCACTGCAGGGAGCATGGGTTCAATCCCTGGTTGGAAATGAAGATCCTGCATGCTGCTGCTAAGTGTGACCAAAAAATATATGTATATATGAAAGACAGCTTTAAGCCACAAAATGGAAGGAAGTATTTTCAGTATATCTGATAGAGGATTTGTGTCCAGAATACATACAAAGAACTCTTGGATAATAAGACAACTCAGTTAGAAGATGGGGGCCAGGGGAAAACTCAGAAATTTCACAAAGAGTAATAGGAATAAGCAATACACTCATGAAAATATGTTCAATGTTATTAGTCATCAGGTAAATGTAAATTTCTGTAAGACGTGACTGCACACTCATTAGAACAACTCAGATGAAAAAGATTTGACATTTGTGGAGCAGCCAAAATGCTCACACACTGCTGGTGAAAATGTAAAAGAGTAAAATCACTTTGGAAAATGCTTAAAATTATTCTATAAAGTTAGCTGTACTCTCAGCAAACAACACAGAAACTCCACTCCTGTGTATTTATCAAAGAGAAATGAGTAACAAAGACGTGTGCATCAATGTTCATAGCAACTTTATTCACAGTAGGCCAAAACTGGAAACCTCTCAAATATCCATCAGCAGGTGAATGGATAGACAAAATGTATATTCTTATGATGGAATAGTACTTGGCAATAAAAAAGAATGAATTCTGTTACAAACAGACATGTGGATGCACCTTAGAATCATGCTAAATGAAAGAAGCAACTCAAGAGTACACTTACTATATGATTCCATTTATATATGAAATTCTAGAAAATGCAAACTGAAACTGTACTGATAAACAGATCCTTGGTTGCCTGAGGCCAGGGACAGGATCATCTGGAAGTATTGGAAATGTTCTGGATCTTAATTGTGGTAGTGGTTTCACAGATTCATGTATATGTCAGCACTCATCAACTTGTACACTTTAAATGGGTGAAATTTGTTGTAATTCCATAATATATACAATTAAGAAGAGCTTGCCTGAAGGAAGATGGAAAAATTAGTTAAATATATACAACTTTATTTTTCTCAATATACCTTTTCTAAGTTGTGTTCATGCTTACTTTTTTTCCTTTTGTCTTAAAAAACGTCTTCACTGTTTTAGCCTACATATACATACCACGTTATGCCAATTTGTGACTCCTTAAGAAAGTTTTGATCAAGAAAATGAGACTTTGTAAGAAAGATTATGTCCTGAGTAGTGAGCAAATAAATTCATTGGAGACTGTTTTTACAGCAAAATGGGCCAGTAGAAGGAGAATTCAGCTTATAGCTATTCTATTAATTATTATATACATGCAGTGCCCTTCTTAAGGAAGCTGAAAATACTAATAGAGCTGTCCTAGTTTGAGCATATGCTTCACCCTGGGCTAATGTTATAATTTCTACATGACATTTTCTCCATAAAGCTTACTTATTGTTAAAAATAGCTAGTCATTCATTCATAATTTGTATAAAAATTATGGGGTGTGGTGGCATTTGAGAATTTTATAACATAGAAGTCACAGTTTATAAATCATATTTTAACCTACACACCCATCACCAGTGCTGCTAGAGATGTGTATACATGTATCGGCCTACAAGTTCTTTCAAAAGTCTTTAAGGAACATTTTCTGATGAGATCATAAGCCCCAAACTTTTGCTAAACCGTTTCGTGTTCCATTCCATAATTGGTTGCGATGCCCACGAATTATGCTCTGGGCCGAGTAGCACAATTTTATAGCAGGATGCCATCTCTGTCACCATTGTTCAGAAGTGCAGCTGGCTCTGCTTCTCTGCTGCATGGTAACACTCGGCTCAGGTCTCAGAGGGCACGTTTGGCAGCCTGGTGGAACTTTGCCTGAACCCTTGTCTCCAGCGGGTAAAGTATACAGTTGAAGCTGAAATCTCAAAATAAATTTGAATTGATTTCATGTAACAGGATGAACTTACTGTCATGAACTTACTGTGGTCCAAGCAGCAGCAATTTTATTTCTAAGGCCATAAGTGATCTATTATCAGGTATCCTGCCCAGTCTATTAGTTGGCACTAAAATAACAGTAATTGGCAATTTTTAGTGTGAACTTGAGAAAAAGTTCATGCAGTTCAGTTTAGCTATTGGTTTTCAGCTGAATCTTGATAAATTTTCTAGAGATTTAAGCACAAATATGTACCTCATAAAAAGTATATTGAAATTCTTCCATTTCATTTACTTGACATTTATTGAGCATTGGTAATAAGCCTAGCAATGTACTAGGCACTTGTTTCTTTAGTGTCCTACAGATTTCATTAAAGCCCAACCATCAAGGAGTACTATATCATTTTTGCTGCCTGAAGAGGTTGTTTTCATCTCTAAATTGAAAGCACCATTGATTTAATGACATGAGTAAGAGAAAAAGGAAAAGGAAACAAATAATTGAATTTTATATCTGCTCACATTAAAGCTTAACTCCATTAAATGACATGTCAGCACCTTGGACGTGTGTGGGTATTGCAGATGTGCCACTCCAGGGAAAAGAAGAGATACTTGGGAGCAGTTAAAGAGATCCAGAAACCTGCACTCTAGCTCAAACAGTAGGGCAAATGTGGGTTTCCCGGTTTTAAGGTCTCTTGAGTAGGAGCAATTGTGTGTTCACAAGCCCCGGATTCTGAAAGCCTTTTTGTTGAATCGATCTTTGAACTTTAATGCACCCAATGGGGAAAAAGGAGAAGGGTAGGTAACATTCTAGCTTCACTTTCAGCTGACAGTGATACTCTTCCAAGGTCCAATCAGGTGGAAAGGCTGATTGCTAAGGAGAGAAAAGCCCATGCCTGATTGGACAGGGCCCTGGATTCCCTGGGGGAGAGGACCCTGCCTTTTCCCATTTTATCTCCAGCGCTGGGCCCCAAGTAGGTGTTTATTAACTGCTTAATAAGTGAATAGTTATTTTTTTCCTCCTTTTTTCTTCATGTTGAACATTTGGAGTTGTTGGTTTCTTTATTTGTCCTATTGTCCAAGCTTTCTGCCTGTCAGCACTGTGGGGTATTTTCTAATTGCAGCTGTAAATATGCTTGGAACATAGTAGAACCAAATGCAGAATTGTTGACTGACATGTATGATTAACCAGCAGAGACAAAAGCTCTCCAAATGGGATCAATTTTATAAATCCAAAAGTTGAAATTATTCAGATTAGTTTACTTTGAGTGTGATTTTTCTTCTTTGTAGGATTTTTGACATAACTGAGAAAAATTGTTTTTGAAAGTCATTAATCACTAGAGGTATTGGTCTTTAAATATTTGAAGATTTTCTTCATTTTAATTATTAAAGTGAATGTTTCTCTCTATATTCATTGTTGCTTAATTATTTGATCTAATAGAATGTTGCATTTTGTTTTCTCCAATACCAATGAAGGTACCATTGGATACAACCAGAGGAATAGAATTGATACTCTCATGTATCTCCTAGCATATCCACAAAAACCCATGGTTAAAACAAAGACTATTGAGTTGATAGAATTTGAGAAACTGCCAGCTGGACAGAATGCGACAGTTGCCGTGATGAGTTATAGTGGCTATGATATCGAAGATGCTCTTGTTTTAAACAAGGCTTCCTTGGACAGAGGTAAGTGAATTTTCAAAGCACGAGCACCAAAAGTACCTTTGTGCAGATTCAGATACAAGCATGATCAATGTGAAAGTCACTTGACGTCAGAATGTTAATGTCAGTTTCAAGTGATTTGGTTTTTATAATATACAACCAGGAAGTGGTTATGTACAGTGTTGACATTTTTTAAATGAATATTATATAGAGGTATTAATAACTGTTACTAAGGAACCTTTTTTTTTCTTTGTTAATTTATTGGTGACTTGAGACAGTTCAACAGAAAACAAAAATTAAAATGCAAGAATTTGATTATTTCCTAGCAGGAATTACAATAAATGAAATACCGTTTTTTTGTTTTTGTTTTTTTTAAAAACATCAAGTTGTATATTTAATTACAAACCTGTTGAAAGTGCAGTAGTAATAGTTGTATGTAAAAGACTATTTTTTTTAATTGTATATCTCAACTTCATAATGCTATACCTTTTTGTTAGCAAAATGATAAAAGTATACATGCACAAACCCTGATTCATCATTTTACCTTTTTCTTTCCCAGTTTTAAGGCTTGCTTTTGCAGGTCCCCACCTGGGGGCTTGTTAGCCATCACCTGACCTGTGGTGTGACTTCTGTCTTCATCATCCATTTCTCTCCTTTCTCCCTGGCAGACCCGCCCTGCCTTCCCCTTCACTCTTTGCAGTTGCTAGGCAGCCATAATAGTACTCCTAGACATGTGTCTTTGGCGTTAATGTTGGCTGCACTTAATTTATGCCTCTTTTCTTCCTCCAAATGACAACAGCCATGCTTTAAAGCTAGATGTTTTCCTTTCTGATTAACTGGTAACGTTTATGTGGAAATCTGAAGACTTTGTGATATCTGTCAGAAACTCCGTGACACAATTTAATGATCTGAGTTTACTGTCCTCTTGCTTTTAAGCTCCCACCTGTAAATAAAATGTCCATTTATACTTAGAAGAAAACTCTTCTGATTCCATCCAGTTCAGGTTCACACTGCACTCCAGTATGTTGCACTTATTGACCATTGTACGAAATTTCAAGATCATGTAAGGTTTTCAAAGCAGCTTTCTCTCTGAGGCGAGTTTATTATGGCCATACACAATTTACCAGGAGCCATAACAACGAAGACTGTTATCAAAGACACACAGATGTCTTCATCTACTGTCCAGATGTAGAAATGTGTTGTTTGATCCCATGGTCGCCTTCATATTTAAAAAAGGACATTAGAGCACTGAGATTTTATTTGGAAATCCACTCATCCCTGATTAATTTCCTAAACTCAAATTCTTAGATTTCTTGAAAGAGTTCTGCTTTGGGTGGAGAATCATAAGCAAAGGATTTTACAGCCATGCATTTATTTCTTCAGTAATAGCTGGCATTTAATCTGTAGACATTTTCCTATTTAAGTGAACTCTGACATGGCTCAGTATATCCTGGGGAGATCAGAGGGAGAATCCCGTTTAAAATAACAGCTTGGCCAAAGGGGGGAGAAGAAAGAAATTCAGCCTTAGCATCTTAGGAAATGTTACTTAGTGTGGAAGGACTGGCAGCTCTTTTGAGCAACTGACAAATCCTTCTGTGGGTTTCAGTGGTTGAGTTTGCTCCATCTGAAGGCTTTTTCTATTCATTTTGCTTACTTTTCTTAATGTTTAAGTTGTTAATTGGTCCCAGCATTTTTTCCTCCTCCGCTAGATAAGTGTAATATAAAAATGCTATCAAAGTAATCTCTAATCTTCAAGGCAAAGGTGAACTGTCTCTCCCATTAATATCATTTGATTGCTTCTTTGTATTCTCTCTTTCCTCTGGAGAAAAATTAATGTTTTTGTTTGCTTGTTTGAGACTTCTTCTAAATGCTAAAATCAGCAAAAAGAAAACTTTCCAGAGAAGAGTAGCAAAAGTTTTGCAACAAAATGATGTGTGAGCAGAATGAGGGCTCATCAGTGAACTTGCTCTGTCTCAATTCAGCCACCATGTTGCTGAGTAACCTTGGCCACTTGAGTTTTCTGCCCCTCACTCGTGGCACCTGTAAGACAGAGGGATTAAGCCAGGGGATCTCTAAGGCCCTTTCCAGTTTTCACATGCTATGGCTCTTTGCTCTTAAAGAATCACAGTGATACTCTTATGTTTTTCTCACCTTCCTCCAACCTAACAAGGTATATTCTGTGCTGGAAAATGATTGCAGAGATTCCAGTGTTTATATGGTAGAGATCTCGAGCCAGTTCTTCAAGTCATCAGATTGTTATTTGGTTTGGCTACTCCCATGATCTAAATGTAGAGCAAATTTGGGGGGTGTTTCTGTGGGCTTCCCAGGTGGCTCAGATGGTAAAGAGTCTGCCTGCAACACAGGAGACCTGGGTTTGATCCCTGGGTCAGGAAGATCCCCTGGAGAAGGGAATGGCAGCCCACTCCAGTATTCTTGCCTGGTGAGTTCCATGGACAGAGGAGCCTGATGGGCTACAGTCCTTGGGATCACCCAGTTGGACACCATTGAGTGACAAAAGGGAAGTGAGCAGAAGGGAAGCAGAGTGGGGTGGCTTGTTGAATAACACAAACCTGTGACTTCACAGTTTCATGTTGCTGGTGGTTCTGAACCCACTTTGGTTTCATTTTAGGTTTTGGGCGTTGCCTTGTATATAAAAATGCTAAATGCACCTTGAAACGATATACCAATCAGACTTTTGATAAAGTGATGGGGCCCATGTTGGATGCTGCTACAAGGAAACCCATCTGGCGACATGAGATTTTAGATGCAGATGGTATTTGTTCTCCAGGTAAAAGCCTTAAAATCATTTTTTTTTTAATGTATATGCTTTTAAATTATGGAAAGTATTCAACAGTATGTCTGAATGTTTGGTATACAGGGCAGAAAAAAAATAACAGCCTATAAAACCATATCAACCCGGGTGCTGTGGCAGGGAAAACAAGTGCAGTGACGGCAGTGTAGTAGCTGGTCTCTGTGCTTCCCACAAAAAGGTACAAAGCAGAGGTGAGGACAGCAGGAAAATCAAGGAAATACTTATATTTTCTCATTGTCCAAGTTAAGTTGGCGGGGACTCATTACTAGCTGAAATAACTGTCACGTGGCCCAAACCTATTCTAACACCCTAGGAGATATTTTAAAGATGGATGGATTTTCTCTCATTCATGTGGTCCCCTAAAGCAGCTTCTTAATTTTATACATGCTGTGATCTTAATCTCTGTGGTGTTTTCAGATGGGCTTGCAGAATTTCAAACAAGCCCTGTTGAACTCTGATTCCGACCATGTGGACACTTTTTGTCATCTCCATGTCTGAATTTCATGCACCAGGTCTAATCACAGGGTTTTATGCCCCAAAAACCTTTGCCCTCCACACGGATGATGGTGACTCATCTAATGCTTTTCTCTGTCTCTCAGGTGAGAAAGTAGAAAACAAACAAGTGCTTGTAAACAAGTCCATGCCCACAGTGACTCAGATTCCCCTGGAAGGAAGTAACGTGCCCCAGCAGCCGCAGTACAAAGACGTGCCCATCACGTATGTCCTGGTCGTGCCTTGGAAATATCACATTGAGAGATTTTTAAAAAGAAGGGCTGGGGGAAATTAGAAATTAGCTCCTTTGGCCAGTGACTGCCAGAGAGACGTCTGCCCAGTGTCAGCTCCATGCCCGCTCTCGGACAACGGGGCCCCTAAACCCAGACCCAGACCACCATCCTCCCCTCACCTACCCCAGCCTCAGACATGCTTCCTCTGGGTCCCTTTCTCGGTGAGTAGTGCTGCCGTCCAGCCTGGCACCTCCAGCACACACCTGACTCCTCTGCGTGACCGGCTGCGCGCCTCAGCGCAGTCTGTGCTGTCAGCTCTGTCTGCGCAGGAGTTCTCCCCCCCCCCAGTGGCAGCGTGGCTGTCTGAGTTTGGCCCGCCTCGCCTGCTGGGCCCACCGTCCCTGGGAGCTGCTCATCTGCCTCCAGTCGTGTGCCCCCCTACACTTCTCAGGCGCTCTCTGTTACTGCCAGAGTGATTTATTTTTTCCTCTCAGTTACTCATCTGCTACTCTCTTGAATAAATAGAATAGAATTTGAGTAAATTGAGTAAAACTCCCGGTGACAATGTCACCTGCAGGATAAAAGCCAAACGAAATGGTAATATAATAAATACATGGCCATGCATGACTCTTGGCACATGTCTCTAGCCGTGGCTTTGGCTCAACCAGCCCCCATATTTCCAGTAAATTGTCTCTCATTCTCCAAACATTCCATGTGGCTTCTGTGCATTTACTCACGCTGCTCCCTCTTCCTGGAATTTCCTTCTCTCTGGTCAGGTCTCCATTCTAGGGTCTCCTCCTCCAGGAAGCAGTCCTTGATAGCTTGCTGCTCCCTGCCAGTACTGCCACCTCCACCAGCCCCTGGCAGGACTGACTGTCACCTCTTCGGGCCTTTCCCATTACCCCTCTCCCCTACCAGAAGACTTCCTTGTATCTCCCTTTCTCTCTTCCTTCATTGCTTGTGAGTTTCTTTGGGGCAGGAACTATGTCTTCTTAATCTTTGCATGTCCAGAGCCTGTAAGGATCTGACACAGTAGACTCTGAATAATGTTTTTTGAATGAAAGACAGATGATGTGAAGTGTGTGAAAAAGTTCCCAATGGAAAAGCTGAGTAGATCAAAGTAATCTTTAAAAATCTGGAGTTGAGTAACAGGCTTCAGCTTAAATCCCAGGTCTGCTTTGTATGAGTCATGTGTCCTGGGCAAGTCCTTAACCTTCCGAAGTTTTCCTCAGTTCTTATTTCCTATGAAGGAGTAACAGTATGTGAACACTATGTTGGTAATGATTAAATTGTATTGTGCCTGCCTCATAATAAATGTTTAACCACTTTAAACTAGGACTGTCCAAGGGAAGTTGTCACATTTTAATTTATTCTTGAAAGAGGAACGTCATTTTTCAGAACCTGAAATGGGAATGTCAGAATATTCTGTGATAGGTATTACATGAAATATGCCTGGAAGAATAGGTTCACCAAGGGCGGCTTGAAAACTCTGCTATAGTGACTTTCTCTTAATATTAGCTACAAAGGGGCAACAGACTCGTATATTGAAAAAGTGATGATATCTTCAAATGCCGAAGATGCTTTTCTGATCAAAATGCTGCTGAGACAGACAAGGCGTCCAGAGATTGGAGACAAATTCAGCAGTCGTCATGGGCAAAAAGGTAAGTTGTATCATTTCTCAGCTTTTTAATAAAACGGTAGTATTTATTAACCACATTATATAAGAACTACTTTATAATTCTCCCTGTTAGAAAAGTTCAGTGTGTTAGAAAAAGTATTACCATGTTATCAAAAGTATTCTTGTTTTATTTCTCAGATTAACTTGTTTATATTTTAATGGCATCTAACAGTATACCATGGTGTTGCTTCTCTATACTATGTATTTCATTCTGCAACTGCCCAGCCCAAAATTATAAATACGTTCTAGATGACGTACCTACTAAAGTACAAGTGGCCGTTCAGAAATAAATAGTAATACCTATTTTTTACGAAAGGTGTGTGTTTAAAATGCTGTATGTTCTGTTGGGTCATAGTATCAGGATGTCAGCACCAAAAGGTACCTCAATCATCTGCCCCTTTGTTTGACGCAAGAGGAAGTTCAGAGCCTGCTCGGTAAGCAGCCGGTCACAGCACCCAGCTCGTTGCTGAGCTGGTGTTAGACCCGTGGTCTTCCCTGCCTCCAGTGCAGTGCTTTGTCTTCCTCATAGCGACCCTTCTCCTAGACATTCCTTCTCCGTCAGATCCCATTGGCGAGCCTGTTTCCGTTGATGCTCAGTGCTGGGTTTTCATTCATTGTGGGTTTGGTTTTCTTTTTATCTTCAAGGAACATATGGTTCTGTGTCACTGCTGATTAAGTTATCAGCAGAGTCTCGTTTAGTCAGTATACACCTAGAGTTTAAGTTTGTCCTGGGTTTGAGTTTTAGCCCTATCTGCCGCGCACTAGTACTCAGACCAACAGCAGCTAACGCTTGGGTAGCACTCGGTGTGCCTGGCTCGTTGCTCATTTGTTTCTGCCACAGTCCCTACGGTCTGCACTTTGTGGGTGAGGAAGTCAAGGCACAGAGAAGTTACAGGTTGCCCACGTCCCCAGCTGGTTTTTAAGCCCTGGCAGCCTAGCTCCAGAGTCCATGCTCTGTAACTGACCTGTTTGCTCTCCTGACTGTTAAGCTGTTAGGATTGTGCCTGACACATAGTAAGTGCTCAAGTGAAAGCTGTGATCATTAATATTGGCTATTATTCATTCAGTCTTCAACTTGGAAGCTCACTTGTGCTTATAAATTGCTGGTGTGGTATCTTCCTGTTTTTGTTTGTTTTTTTCCCTCCTGAACCCCCCTCCCATCTCCTACCCCATCCCATCTTCTTGTTTTTAATTGACTGGTTTGAGGATAATTATGCATTAAATTCTTGATGATTCTGACTATTGCTTTACCAGGCAAGTATATCAAATATTATAGTGTGTTTGGTCAAATGAATCTAGCCTTAGTTGTCATTCCATCAGTAGAAATGTTTCAGACTAAGGTACTATTTCATCGGAAGCATTTTTTTAGTTCAGTTAACAGACACAAGATTATTTCAGCCTATCAATATTTTATGAAACAAAGTTGGTTCCATCTGTAACTGTGAATTTGATACCTCTACTTCATACAGTTCCCTAAGATGCTAAGTCTTAACTTTTGAGTTTAAAACCTATCTTGAGGTTCTGTTATTTTCTACTGCTTACCAGTGAAAGTCAGATTCTCTATATTGAGATTGTTTCTCCTTCTCTGTTGGTCTTGACACTTTCTGAGATATACTCCTCTAAGTCTTTCTGGGGTCACCACAGTGTCTGTTTTACTTGACCTATTTCCTGGACAAGAGCAAAGCTTGATACTCCTCTTATAAAATGTTGGCCCTGGAAGTTTTACAAGTGTGCACACCATAAGAGGACATCTCTGTCTGAATCAGTTTGCACACTTGAAGCCCAAATCCTTGTGCTCTGTTCCATCAGAGTTATTGTGTGAAGAGTTGAAGGCTAGTATGCACATTTCAGTAATTATCCACTGTGTTCACATTCCACCAAGTTTGAGGACAGGGACCGTGTCCTTAGATTCTCATAAGAGCTTTTCTTAGAGTAGATACTTAGTAAGTAATTGGTAACGGTTGAATATATGAGTGAATTGAAGGTAGGGGGAATATGAAAAGGAACAGATTCCCCACTCTTGATGGATTGATTTTTGCCCAGATTTTAATGTGTACATTATATATGAGTGTGTGTTTGTTACGGCAGAAACAAAGCAGTACTTTTGAAAATGAAAACCATGCTTGATTAGTAAGTTGCTGTGAATACAGACCTCGAGGTAAAATGTCATCAAGTCTGTGCTCTCGCATTTTTTCTAACTATTAATAAAATACAGATAGCGTTCATTGACAGAAGTGGTTTCCAACTTGCAGTGATCTGAAACGTAGCAGATTTTTGAGATCTCTTCAGTCTTAGGGAGCTTTGACTAGAATATCTCTATACGAAACTGAAAGAAGTCCTCCTGGGTCTAGATGACCTTTCACTTGTAGTGAGGAGTTTATCTTGCTAGTTTTCTTTTTCCAGATGGCTTTTAATCCAGGGTAAAACCTTCTGATTAGCCTCGATTCCCTTGATATTCTCTTCTCTTACAACTTCATTAGATTTATTGAAAAGATTGAGGGGGGGAACAGCAAACAAACAAAAAATAGATAATGTAAGCTTTAGCAGAGTATAGGAATCATTAACATAATTTTCATTTAAGTATAATTTTTATTAAATAATAAATTCATACAGCTTAAAAAGGTCAAATAGTACCAAAAAAGGGTGCCTTGTACTAAAAAACATAATTTTCCTTTCCTTTCCTTTCTTCTTCTTCTGCTTCCTGAAGCAGTTTCACCTCATTTTCATCTTAGTATTTGTAAATAACATTCTTAAGCAGCTCTGTGTTCATTCATCCGTTTGCAGACGGATTCACCAGCAGACGTTGCCTGCTGATCTCGCCTTGTGATAGGTAGGAGGACCTATACTTGGCTACCTCTGTTTCCTATTCCCAACTTCCATTGCCTGCATAGATTTATCATAATTTTAAGTTACTTAATTATTTAGATTGCATTATCTGGCGCCATAAATATTATTCGCTCCCAAACCAAGTGATTGTTGAGTACATTTCCTTGGTTATATAACTTTATTTTTTCAGAAGTTGATCAATATCTCATTTAAGAATTTTGCTTAATTTTCTTTATTTTCATTACCGTTCTTCTGTACCATCAACAGCCTCTCAACACAGTTTTCCACATAGTCTGTTAGAACCATTTTTTCCCCAGATGGTTCCTTTTATAGTGTCCCCACTCCTCCAAGCCATGGTGGTTCTTCCCTGAGCCTGACCTTCCCAGGAAAGTGTTAAGAATCGTAATAGGTGAACTGAGAGGTTAATCCGTGGAACCCTCAGGAGTGCAGGGCAGAGCCTGGCAAGCCAGGGCCACTGCAGCTCATCTTGCGTGCCCAAGACGTGTTTCTTAGGAAGGTTGGGAAGCACTCTGGATTAGTTTGCCTGGATGGCTAAAATAAAATGCCACAGACTCAGGTGACCTAAACAAGAGCAGTATTGTCTCTCAGTTCTAGAGGCCAGAAATTCAAGATCAGAATGAATTTCAGGGGGACCCAGCCCGCCCACCGCGCTCTGAGCCTGCTGGATGGTGGCCGCTTGTGACAGCCTCCTTTGAGCCCTTGCTTCTTTGCTCTTCCCTCTCACTTCTCTCTCCCCACCCCCCACCCCTGCAGTGGGATAATCCATCTGTCAAATTGCTGAGAAAGTGCGCGTGTCACGTACAGTCGTGTACTTGAGCTCGTGTATGTCTGAACATATTCTGTCCTCATACTTGAAATATACTTTGGTTGAGTAAAGAATTCTAGATATAAAAATTGCTCTCCCTCAGGATTTTGATCCCATCACTACATTATTGTCCAGATTCCATCTTACTTGTATGAGTTGCAGCATCATTCTTCAGATCTCTGTCTGTGTACTCTTTCTCTCTTCCTCCTTCCGTCCTTCCCCCTTTCCCCACCCCTGGAAGCTTTTACTGTTTTCTTTTCTTGAATTCTGAAATTCCATAGACTCTTTTTTATTCCTTGTCCTTGAACATCAGACACCCTCTTATTCTGGAAGTTGGAGTTCCTTCAATTCTTGGACATTTTCATATATTTGTTGTTGGTAATTTCCTTTTCATCATTTTCCCCACGCCCTTTCTGGTTTTCCTGTTAGTTAGATTTCTTCCAGACTGATGCTCTAGCTTTGTTATCTTTTCTCCCCCGCCGCTCTTCATTCTTTTCTCTTATTTTTCTTTCTTGGAGATTGGATCAGTTTTATTTCCAAGATCCTTTTTAACCTCTTTATATTTTTCATTTCCAATTATAATTTTAAATTTAATTTGTGCTTTTCCATTTTATAACAATGGGTATGTGTTTATATATTTAAATTTTTCTTTTAGTTTTTAGCTTTACTTTTTTGGTTTTGTTTTCTTTTTTGTTGTTTTTTTTCTGTTTCTAATGTAATCTCTATTTCTTGAAGGCTTTCTTTCCTTTGTGTGTGTTTTAGAATCTGGCTGTTGTTGTTGGAAGCTTCACTTTAACATGCAGTGCCTCCTTTAACGGTAAAAAATGGTTGGCAGGTCCGTGTCCCAGGGATAGAACCTGTTGACGGGTGGAAGTCATCGTAGGGTGATCAAGCAGTGAATCGTACTTCTTGCGGGTGTCATTCGGTTCAGTTTCAGGTTGCAGTTGGAAATGAGGGGAGGTGCAGTGCTTAAGGCTTACCTGTCAGCTGCCCTTCTGGAAGCCAGACGGGGGCAGCAGGCTGTGGGCCCGGCTCAGTGCACAGACTTGCCCTTTTTTCTTCTATATCCTCACCCCACCCTCTGCCATGTCATCAGCCCACGCTGGGTCATGGGTCATTCTGGTTCAGTTTCTCCGGTGAGTTTTTGGGGTAGAAGGTAGTTTCTTGTCTGTATAGTGTAGAGAATAAAAACTCAGGTTCTGATGATTTCTTATACAGACATATGTTTCTGCAAATACTTAGTTATGTATCTCCTGAGTGTCCGGTGCTATTCTAGGTCCTGCTGATACGCAGTGAACAAGATCCCAGCCCATGTGGGGCTTACATTCCTG